GACCCAACCATATTGTTAAACTCTTAACAGTTTTAAACTGATAATTGATGGAAATCATAATCAGGAGTGCATAACTAGATAGGGACTGTTTTCAGGAATGCTAAAATGTAAGCTTGCCAAATATGCTATACATGTTTGCAAATACAATAATTATTATTCTACCTAAAGATTGTTAAATTGATTAGCTAAGATATTAGCCAATACAACTTAACAAAAATTATTGAAAGCAGTGAATAGTAAGATTACATGGAAGATTCCGAGAAACTGCAATCAAATATGTTCCAAATTTAAGTAAACATCATGAAAGAAGGAAAAAGTTGACATCAGGCTTTTGGGGACCATACCCAGCGAGTACTTCAGTTGCATGAACTTTTGGAAATTCATCACTCAAACCCTTTGCAAAATGAGGCTGAGTTTGAACACGAACTTTGACTGATTCAAAAGGGCAGAGTGCTACATCAGCAAAAATTTGAGCCGATGCACTGGAGAAAAGAATATGGAAGTCCTGTTATAATCTACCAAGACATCAGAGTAAAGCCTCTTAAAATATTCGTAAAGTCCAAATTTGCAGCTGCCTTGAACACCATATCCACAAAACTTTCCTGACCAACCTCTCCAAAGGGAAGAAGGGCCTTGTTCTCTCCAAAGGGTAGAGAACCCTGAGGACATGCTTATGGATTTCATCGGAGGCCTCCCAAGAACCAAAGGGTTTGACACCATACTGGTTGTAGTGGACCGCTTGACTAAATACAACCATTTCCTACTTCTGTCACACCCTTATACAGCCAAGGAGGTAGCCTTAGTTTTCATCAAGGAAATAGTGAATCTTCACGGGTTCCCTCAAACCATCATCTCAGATAGAGACAGATTGTTTATGAGTCATTTTTGGCAGGAAATTTTTGGAATCTCAGGTACAGCTCTGAAATTCAGTTCGGCTTACCATCCTCAAACGGATGGCCAAAGTGAAATGGTGAATCGGTGTCTAGAGACTTACCTCCGCTGTTTCTGCAGCTCACAGCCCCGTCAATGGCCCAACTGGTTATCATGGGCTGAATTTTGATACAATACGACGTACCATCGATCCACTAAGATGACACCCTTTAAAGCATTGTACGGTCGAGACCCTCCGACTCTCCTTAAACTCACCGATTACTCCTCTGCGGTCGATGAAGTAAACCAGCGGATCCGAGAACGCAATGCCCTTCTTCAAGACCTTAAACATAACCTGGAAGTAGCACAAGCTCATATGAAAACCCAAGCAGACAGCCACCGAAGGGACATCCAGTTCTCTCCAGGAGATTTCGTTTATCTCAAGCTTTAGCCATACAAGTTTAAATCTCTAGCCACACGGTTGAATGAAAAACTGAGTCCCCGATTCTATGGACCCTTCCGAGTGATCGAAAAGATTGGTCAGGTGGCATACAAATTAGAACTACCCACAGTAGCCCGTATTCACCCCGTTTTTCACGTATCCCAATTGAAGCTCTGCCTCCATAGTTCAGTCCCTGTACAGCCTCTACCATCTTGTCTCACAGAAGATCTGGAACTTTAGGTTCAACCCGAGGCAGTGCTGGATGTGCAGAATCTGATAAATGGCTCCACCGAGGTACTCATCAAATGGAAAGACCTGCCTAATTTTGACGCCACCTGGGAATCTTTTGAGGTCATCAATACTCAGTTTCCTCAATTCCACCTTGGGGACAAGGTGGCACTTCAAGGGGGGGTATTGTTAGACCCCCCATACGTAAGGTCTATGAGTCCAAGGGCAGGGGAAGGAAGAGGGGCAAGGGTACAATAAGTGTGAGTCAAGTAGAGAATGATGACGTGTGCAAGGAGGGTGATTAGGCATGGGAAATCTGTTGTGAAAAGGGACACGTACAGGGAAAGTTTTTTATGGAAAGGGACACCTTGCTGTCAGTTGGTTGAAGAATTGATTATTTAAGAAGATGAAAGTCAGGAGGGGAGATATCTAGAATATTAATCATTGGCTGGTTAGGGAGGTCCCCAGCTCCTCGAATTGCTGGGAATCTGCTTGTTATTTCTATTTCCTTGTCATTTGGCTGGTTGCTCTATCTTAGTTTCCATTAATATAAACTTCCATTTCTTTCACTTGTGCATTTCCTGTGTTTGTGTGCTGTGTGTGCGTGGCTGTGGTTCTATTTGCAGGGAGTTCCATCATATAANAAATAAAATAACAGAGAGGTAAGTGGTGATCTGTTAAGAACAGAAAAGAAGAAATTATAAAGGATACCCATCAGGGCTGATGTAAACAGACAAGCTTTTTTCCTCTGAATCACCACCATTGCACTAATATACAAAGAACAATGAAAAACAACAAAACCAAAATTATTGTTAATCAGTAAGATTGGATAAGGAATGAAACATGAAGATATGAAAGCAGATCTACATCAAGAAATTAAATCAAGAATTAAGTTCAAATCTACCGGCAGCTTCATGGAACCAACACATCACAGTAAATCATCCTCACAAATTTGTAGTAAAGCAATTCAAATTTGGTTAGCCTTTCTCGATTTCTTAAATTGATATTTGTTTTTTCTAGTACAATTCTCATTACACAGCAAGTTAATTAATATCTACAAAACCTCAAAAAAAAATGTCCATAACTCATGTGCATAAGCCAAGACATTCAAGGAAAACGAAGAGAACAACACAAAACCCGATTCCCATAAATTGAACAAAACAAAACCTGATTCGCATAAATTTAACTCAAAGAACACAACTTACAGCTGGACAAAGCAAACTATACTGGCCAGGGACACATTTCTCCATATCCATCCCCAGCTCCTTCAACTTAATCGTCAAAACATCCAACGGCCGCAAACCCAAACACCGACTACCTATATCCTCAGAAAGAACCCCAAAACAAACACAAAGATCAGTTTCATAGACACTCTTTAAATGTACTCAAAAACATATAAAATTAATCCATTCTCTGTCCTCAGAGATATTAATTTTACAAATACCCTTTAAATGAATATATCGGCTAAATACAAAAGCACGTGAAACAAACAAACCTGGGGCTGAGGAGAAGTCATTGGTTTTGGTTTTGGGTTTGAGAGTCAAAGGATGATGATTATTACTACTATTATCAATGGATTTTAAAGCCAAAGCAGGAAGAAGCTGTGAAGAGGATGGTAAGAGGCGTGTATTAGAAGGAAAGAGGAATGTAAGAAGGTGTGCTTTCGAGGTTCTGCGAGAGCCCATGAAGAATGAGAGTCTGTGTTGAAAAAGAAAAACGCATTCTTAGTGTTTGAAACAAATGTGTGAACTAATTAAGGGGTTTGTTCGGTGGGTTTTCAAAAGGGTTTAGGCATGGCTCAGTCTGGCATGGAAGCCCAATTGAAACGCTGAAGACAAAGAAAGGAGTGACGGTTTATTGTTTTAAGAATTTTGGTGTCTTTTATTTTCTATTTTCTCAAAAGATATTGAATGAAAACACACTTTCTTAAAGAGAAAATGTATGGTAAGTGTTTGATAAACTGTGTGAATGAATGAAAGGGTTTAGGCAACAGGCATGGCTCAGCCTCCCATGGAAGCAAAGTGAAGGCGGAACACAAGGAAGCGAACGGTTTGTTATTTTCTATAAGGTTTCACACCAAATCCCAAAATCTTTTCTATAAACAATAATGATAAAGTTACAATCAAATCTCACAATTTTTTCTCACATCCTTCAACGTGGATGTTATAATTCGATATTGATTATCTTGTAAATAGATAGATTGGATCTATATAAACAAGTAAGTCCCATTTTAGGAACTAATGAAAGACGAATTATCACGTAGGAAATTGCAAACGTAGCATTATTCTATCATAAATTTTATGTTTTTATTTTTTATATTTTAAGAATATTTAAAATGGTTGAAAAATGTGTTTTTATTTTCTATATTTTTTAGAATATTAAAAATGATTGAAAAATATGAAGAATGAAATGTGTTCGATATATATGTTTGAAAACAATATGTGAAAACACGAAAAATAAAAATGCATTAAGTGAAATACTTGAATGGTCAAGTCTTTTTTTTCGTTTTTTCTTCCATTTTCTCGAATAAAATCATAAACGGAGGAATGTCTCATTCTAATCTATATGGCATTTATATGGATTACATCTTTCTCGTTAATTACATTTTTATTATAATCCTTTCACCAAATAAACATCAAAATAAGTAACTGCTAAGTCAGTTCTTGTAAGTAAAATCATATATAACAGAGAATGAAAAATATTACCCAAGAATGCCTAAGAGAATCGGTCTCGAGTCATCAGTTCCGTTGTACGAAGCCAATTCTTCTACACTGAACAATCTCTAACAGCAGAAGCAAAATCAATTCAAATTCGAATTCAAAATATATGCAAAACTGAATAGAGATCATATAATGATCCGAACCTGCTGGGGTTTGAATTTGATGGAGGAAAACCTTGTAATTAGAGCAATTAACGCCACCAAAGCTGTGATTCCAACAAATGGAGACGTTAGTATCTTCTTAACAGCCATCGCAACTCAGCTTTCGAGAGTCTCGAATCAAATAGGGATCAGATTGTGAAAATGGAAAAGTAATTGGATTAATTTAAGCTCAACTGTACGATTTTGAGCCCTAACTTTTACTGCAGCGCTTAACTGTTTGAATAAAATTTGAATTTTACATTTAACGTGGGAAGATTATCATTTAAGGACACTTATTTTGTAAATTTCAAAAAGGACACTAGATTTGGAAAATGTCATAGAAGGTTCAAATTTTTACTAGTAAAAATGATTTTTGTGCTTTCTGTATTGGCTTCAATAAGTTAGAGAGCAAGGGCTAAATGGTAATAAAATTGAAAGAATGGTTAGATAGGAATACACTTGGAGATCTTGATCAAAATATCAAATAAGCCCCTGAAGTATGACAAACTCATAAAAATCCCGATTGTTGTCGAATAAGCAAATCCCCCCGTATTTTAAGACACAAAACCTCCCCAAAACCCTTTATAACCGATAACTATAACAAGCAGCGTCTTCTTCAAATGCTCCTCAACTCAAACTCGTGAAAATTATGCCCGTAATCCATGCCAATCTCAGCCACGTAACAAATTTCCGTCCAATTCCATGCCTCAAATATGGAATTTCGAGTAAGAATCAGAAATGTCATCGACGTGGGACAATCAGGGCCGCTGGAACTGATCACTATTCGACTTTGAATGTCGGTCGGAACGCCACGTTGCAGGACATCAAGACTTCTTACAGAAAGCTTGCACGTAAGGTCAGTTGATTGTGAACAGAGCTGACTATTTACTAATTAAATTGCCTTAATAATAAATTTGGAAATTTCACCATTTTAGTTCCTATTAATAACTTTATGCTATTGTTCAAGACAATGTTCTTAGTAGTGGATACCAGCTAGTTCAGCTTGTTCGACTTTTTCGAGAGGCTACTAATAATTGAAGCGAAGGCGGTTTCAAATGATTAAGTGAGAAATAGATGATGAATATCATAAGGGCATTATTTGATAGTTGAAAGTAAGGAAAATTATTATACATTCATATTCAGACGAAGGAAAATTATTATACATTCATATTCAGACGAATAACGAACGAACCTTTTAGTTTTACTAAGCTTCATTGAGGCGAAAAGGTCATGATTTTGGTTCATAGTATGGAAACTTCATTTTGTGTTTGTATGTTTAAATTGAATTTCTTCTTTGTTGTTTATTTTTCTTATGTACTTTGTTGTAAAGGATTGACTTGATTACATTTGTGATTAGGACTAAGATTATAATGTTATTTTTAAATTGTGAAATTTGGATTACAGTTTAGTTTTAGTTGTATTGTATGATTGAATGACATTGTTCATTTATTTTCTTGAATTTGGTTTATTGTAGAATTAATTAGGGTATGAAAGCCTATGAGTGAATAACAATAATTACAGATATACACATTATTTAGCCCATCCTAATGTAAATTTCTGGCTATTAGTAGGAGAGAAAAAACCCAGAATAGTTGACCTTGAGAATCTTCTGAAACAAGTTTAGACTTGTAAAAGTAGATAACATATGTATCTCCTTAATATTTTTATATATGCTAGTTTTTCCTGGTACCTAGCATATATAAAAACATTTTTTTTGGTAACTAAATATACAGCACATTCATGTTTGTATGATGAGAAATTTGTTTTGAAAGCACCCCCTGGCATTGAGTTCGAGTTGTATCAAGGGGTGGCCAATTATCATACCTAAAAAAAAAAAAAAAAATCGCTTTCAACACCAGACCTGGCAAAATCAAACAGACAATTTCATTCAATTACATTACAGTTCCAATTTAATGGTCAGGATAGCTTCGCTATAGAATATAGATCATGCCAAGATGGAGACTAAAGAGTACAGGAGCTTTCTACAAATAAAAAATTGTGAAAACTGCAACTCAATGATGCTCCAGTTCTTTTAAATTATACCTCTCCACCTCCGTCCTGACTCCATCTGAATTGCAACCTGGTTGTTTGGCTTCTTCAGCCTTCTGTTTCTCCAAAAGTTGAGCACCTCTCTTAGCCTTAGCTTCAGCTCCTTTCAAATATTTTGTGGGATTTCCTTGACTATCATAGTAACGCCCTACCGCTGCCAGAAAATCTGACAACAGGAGTAAGGCTTGACTAAATACCAAAGACTGTTCATGTTCATCGACATTTTAAATTTTGTATTTCTTTTAAAATTGCTCGCTTAAGCCGCTAACAAACAGAAATATAGTATCCTGATTCATGTGCATCTAATGATTTTGATCACTATAACTTGAAATTTTGGACATCATTTAATACCCCGTCTAATCCAATTCAACAGTTGGAAAGGGAAATTAAAAAGAAGCTATTGATGCTAACTATACTCTTTCAACCATAAGATTAAATAGATTAATGGTCTCAAATTTTAATCAAAAGATTAGTAACAATTCTGAGATGTTAATATCTATATTGAAGGTTGCTTTGACCCTTCTATTATGTTCTAATTTATGGCTTGACTCCTAAGTATGTTATCTGTTTTGTGCGCATGAGAATCTATTAGACTTAAATGTTAAAGTTGAAGCCCTACTTGATAGCTTAAGTTTTTGGATAAAATGATTATTTTACAATTCTGAAAATTCCAATTTTTCTAACTGCGAATTAGCAACAAGTATCATTTCCCCATGCAGACTAGTAACTAATTTCAGAAATCTATTAATTGATTTCAATAATGTAGATCTCAAAGCATCAAACACTAAAATTTCATCATGAACATTGACATCAGATCTAGACTCTATATCAATAACATTTGAACAAGGAAGAAGTACAATTGTAGTAATGAGTGCTTAATTTAAATTCAATGAAGGAGCAAAGGAAAAGAGATGATGAATGATGTAAGACTCACGTGTACTTCTGATATAAAGTCCCGCCAATCAACAATGCTCTTTACCTACAATATTAATAGTGAACCCAAAAATGTAATGCATATTTAACTGAAACTTAGCAAAGCATGAAGCAAAGGTTTTTTTTTTTTTTTTTTCTTTTTTCGATAATAGAAAGAAAACTGGCCAGCAGTTCAGAAGAAAAACTCATATAACAGGGATTGCTAATGAAGTCCAAAACATCTAACTACTGAAATTTTGCTCAAATTTCCTTTTTTTCCACTGTTTGATCAGCAACCAATTTGTATTTACAAGATCAATCAAGATCAAATAAGATCTCAGAGGATTGGAATGTTAACAACTACTTATCTTATATGCCAAGATAACAGTGTAGTGATAAAGTAGAGCTAAACTTTGGCATAAAAGATCAAGGAAGGACCCCTTGACAGGTACTAGAGCACTTCAACAAGATAAACATACAAAACAATTACCTCTGTGCTGGATAGACCATTCAGTGAATCAGTGAGTCCATCTCCTGCGTCAAAAACAACATAAAAGAAAAAAACAATAAATGAACAGTGATAGTGAAGGATAACAAACAGCAGTAAATCACTCCATTTGTTCGTAGTATGTTTAGATCTCATCTAGCGTTCTTAGAATAAAACCGAAAACAGTCAACTACCTGAAAGAAAGACATTACGCAATACTTCTTAAACCTCTAAAGAAATAAGGACTTAGAGAAAGATGAGTATGATAATGAAGTACTAATATAAGCCTCTCCTCTGATTCAACATAAATTAACATTTAGGTAGATGCTTATTGACGACGTTGTGTGTATATACCACTGTGTGCATATATATATAAATGAGTGAAACGTTTACATGCTAAATGTTTTATTCGCATTGCTCTAAATTTTGTTCAATTTCAGCACTTTGCCGGAAGAAGACACTAACATACAAGATTCAACCAATTTACTTAGCTTTTCAAGCCGACAAGTATTACTATATACAATCCAAGCCTTTTCATTCTGTTCTTATTTCATCATCACAAACATCTATATAAAATAAAGATAACAATTGACCATTTGCACCTGTAAAGTTTCCTGAAACAAATGCACGGGCCATCTCTGAGTTTGCAAGAAAAGAAAAAGCTATCAGAGCAGTCTAGAGACATAATTTATAAAATACAATGAATCTAACAACGTTCTACTCTTCGAAAACCTTGAAGATGCTCAAATTTCTATGTACAACTTAGTTAGAAACAAAAGAATAGCATTTAGTGAAAGAACAACCACAAACCTTCCAGCAAAAGATGGTAACCTCCTCCCACACCATAATGAGATTTCCCTTTCGTTACATCGAACACCGATCTAATTCAAAGCACATATCCGATAACCTTTCAATATTACAGAAGCAATTAATCAAAATTTTCAAAGAAATAAAATCTGGAGACAACCCAGTTGAATTAAAACACTTATAAAGCGAAATCATTTCATAATAATACTTCTTCTTAGCTAGTGCATCAAACAATATGTTGAATGATGAAATTGGAGAAATGGGTTGCGAATTAATCATGTAATAAAAAAAGTTCAATGCTTCATTCAGAGTAAAGTTACCCGATCGACAATTTTCTTTGAGGAATTTAGCAAGTGAGGATCGTTCAAGGGGTTTTTCGAAACAATACAAAACTTCATTTTTGGAGCTTGAATTTGTGAGATTGTGCAAGTGAGCTAACAAAGATGAAATATTACCTTTCAGAAATGGGTTTTGAGAGATTGAAGGCGAACGAAATGGGGATCTCAAAGCCATGTCCGAAGAGCGTTTTTGTGGGTGGATTTTCCGAAGCATGGTCATTTGCAAATGGATTAAAGAAAAATGTTTTGACAAATTTCAGAAACAACCTTTAAGGTTTTCAAACTTACAAACTTATGTCAAGTATCGATCTTTTCCTCACAAACCACCTCCATGATTTCGAAAGTTGTTCACTTAGCACCCTGAAAGTGAAGGTTAAAAATGTAAATCCACGTTCAGGTGCTTTCTACTTTTTAAAAGGTCATATGAATAATGGTTCGTTGTCATACTAACAAAATTATCATATTACCAAAGATTATTAGGCTAATTATATTACTAAAATATCTATTTTACTAAAATAATATTTGGTATATTTCATTATGATCACTAATTTTATATTATATAATAGAGTTATATTGATAAACTTGGGGTTTGATAAAATAAAAATAATCTACTTTCTCCAAAGATTAGCCTAGGTACGCGTAAACAGGTCACATCTTGGAGAAAGAAAAAAAAAAAATTCTAATTTATGAAATAGTGGAAATTTTTACAATCTGAATGATACCAAACTCTATTTTGATGTGTTGAATGAGCTAGTACTAGTAGTGGCCTACAGAGATGGGTGTGGAGGCTAATCCAAGAGGTGATCTTGAAAGCTGCTTGGAGATGGAGGTGATCTCTCTGAGTCTAAGAACAGGTCTCATCTCAGGCTGCTGTCCTCCTCCTCCTGGTGACTCTGAAGAACACTCCTCCTCTTTGATCTTTTTCACTTGGCTATGGACTGGAATTGGATTTCGATTCCCCGAAATCATTTGCCCTTTCTTCTTCAGCTCCATCTTCCTTTACTTCACATCTTACCCTCTCTCCTTCCCTCCTCCTTTTTATCCTTGATGTTTTCCAAGTTAAGACAAGAGAGTGCAGCCATGAAAGGGTTTGGTGAAAAGAATAGACTTTGACCATTGTTTTGGACCACGTTGAAAACGTTTTAAATTATTTTGTTTCATTTTAAGATTGTCTGTACTTATCTCATGATAAGACACGGTGCGCATTATCATCTTCTAGAATATTACAGCAAGACGTATATGTATATATGTATATGTATATATATTCAATCAATCCGTAAACATTACATACGTATATCTGATCGATTAAATTGTATCACCGTCTTATTAATTCGTATGACATTACATTAATACGGTAACGTCACATGCAATCGTCCTATAATTAGACAAATACACATATTTTGATGCATTTGGCAGCCCTTGTGATATAGTCCAAGGGATTGTTTTCTTTATATATTTGTTGTTGAATGTGAACCATGAGGTGAATGAATGTGTTTTAAGTCAAAATATATGGGGCAGTTCCAACTGCTTCAACCAAGAAGTTTATGCAAAATGCTTCCTTTCTAGGCCTAAAATTGTGTCATTTGAATGGGAGTAGTTAAATTAAAAATTCATGTGATATTGGCTCGTGGTATGGCTGACGTTATACTATTATCATACTTTCCCATATGAATTCAAAATGTGAAAATATATCGATCTATTCTTTTATAGATCTGAACAAGAAAAGGAAAAAAAAAATCATCTCTACTTTCGAATAGAAAATTATACATGTTTAAATACAAGGAAAATAATACAGTCACCGACGATAGTATATCGAATTCATGCACCGAATGACAAGGCAAAATCTTGACTGTTGATTAATTTTAACTTAATATTAATTAACGGTCAGGATTTTGTCACGTCATTCAATACATGAATTCGGTGTACTACTTCGGTGACTGTAGCATTACTCTAAATACAAAACTATCGATGAACATGGAAGATAAATATTTTATCACTTCTGTCAATTTCCTCTCTCCCAATTTTCTGATATATGTATATAATCATCTGGGAAAGTTAAGATCTAGAGTACAAGAATCCTACCTGTGTCTTAATTTAAACTCGGCACGTCTTGGCAAGATAATCACATCCTTCGTAGACTTCCAGTCCTGGCTGATCCAGCTGATCTACTTCAAAACAAGCGCATCGCTTACTCATCTTTCCCGTCAAAGCAATTTCTATAGGTCTCTGAACTAACCTCGGGACGCCGCTTTCACACCAGACCTGGCAAAATCAAACAGACAATTTCATTCAATTGACATTACAGTTCCAATTTAAATGGTCAGGAATAGCTTCGCTATAGAATATAGATCATGCCAAGATGGAGACTAAAGAGTACAGGAGCTTTCTACAAATAAAAAATTGTGAAAACTGCAACTCAATGATGCTCCAAGTTCTTTTAAATTATACCTCTCCACCCTCGTCCTGACTCCATCTTGAATTGCAACCTGGTTGTTTGGCTTCTTCAGCCTTCTGTTTCTCCAAAAGTTGAGCACCTCTCTTAGCCTTAGCTTCAGCTCCTTTCAAATATTTTGTGGGATTTCCTTGACTATCATAGTAACGACCTACCAGCTTGCCAGAAAATCTGACAACAGGAGTAAGGCTTGACTAAATACCAAAGACTGTTCATGTTCATCGACATTTTAAATTTTGTATTTCTTTTAAAATTGCTCGCTTATAGCCGCTAACAAAACAGAAAATATAGTATCCTGATTCATGTGCATCTAATGATTTTGATCACTATAACTTGAAATTTTGGACATCATTTAATAACCATCCGTCTAATCCAATTCAACAGTTGGGAAAGGGAAATTAAAAAGAAGCTATTGATGCTAACTAAGTAACTCTTTCAACCATAAGATTAAATTAGATTAATGGTCTCAAATTTTAAATCAAAAGATTAAGTAACAATATTCTGAGATGTTAATAATCTATATTGAAGGTTGCTTTGACCCTTCTATTATATGTTCTAATTTATGGGCTTGACTCCTAAGTATGTTATCTGTTTTGGTGCGCATGAGAAGATCTATTAGACTTAAATGTTAAAGTTGAAGCCCTACTTGATAGCTTAAGTTTTTGGATAAAATGATTATTTTACAATTCTGAAAAATTCCAAATTTTTCTAACTGCGAATTAGCAACAAGTATCATTTCCCCATGCAGACTAGTAACTAATTTCAGAAAATCTATTAATTGATTTCAAATAATGTAAGGATCTCAAAGCATCAAACACTAAAATTTCATCACATGAACATTGACATCAGATCTAGACTCATATATCAATAACATTTGAACAAGGGAAGTACAATTGATAGTAAGGATGAGTGCTTAATTTAAATTCCAATGAAGGAGCAAAGGAAAAGAGATGATGAATGATGTAAGACTCACGTGTAGCTTCTGAAGTAAAAGTCCCGCCAATCAACAATGCTCTTTACCTACAATATTAAATAAGTGAACCCAAAAATGTAATGCAATAATTTAACTGAAACTTAGCAAAGCATGAAGCAAAGGTTTTTTTTTTTTTTTTCTTTTTTCGATAATAGAAAAGAAAACTGGACCAGCAGTTCAGAAGAAAAACTCATAATAACAGGAGATTGCTAATTGAAGTCCAAAATCATCTAACTACTGAATATTTGCTCAAATTTCCTTATTTTTCCACTGTTTGATCAGCAACCTAATTTGTATGTACAAGATCAATCAAGATCAAATAAGATCTCAAAGGATTGGAATGTTAACAACTATTTATCTTATATGCCAAGATAACAGTGTAGTGATAAAGTAGAGCTAAACTTTGGCATGAAAAGATCAAGGAAGGACTCCCTTGACAGGTACTAGAGCACTTCAACAAGATAAAGCATACAAAACAATTACCTCTGTGCTGGATAGACCATTCAGTGAATCAGTGAGTCCATCTCCTGCGTCAAAAACAACATAAAAGAAAAAAACAAATAAAATGAACAGTGATAGTGAAGGATAAAAGACAAACAGCAGTAAATCACTCCATTTGGTCAAGTAGTATGATTAGATTTAGATCTCATCTAGCAGTTCTTAGAAGTAAAACCAGAAAACAGGTAAACTACCTGAAAGAAAGACATTACGGCAAGTACTTCTTAAAACTCTAAAGAAATAAGGACTTAGAGAAGATGAGTATGATAATGAAGTAATAATATAAGCCTCTCCTCTGATTCAAGCATAAAATTAACATTTAGGGTTGATGCTTATTGACGACGGGTGTGTGTATATACCACTGTGTGCATATGTATATAAATGAGTGAAACTGTTTACATGCTAAATGTTTTATTCGCATTGCTCTAAAATTTTGTTCAATTTCAGCACTTTGCCTGAGAGAAGGACACTAACATACAAGATTCAACCAATTTACTTGGCTTTTCAAGCCGACAAGTATTACTATATACAAATCCAAGCCTTTTCATTTTGTTCTTATTTTCATCATCACAAACAACTCTATATAAAATAAAGATTACAATTGACCATTTGCACCTGTAAAGTTTCCTGAAACAAATGCACGGGAAGCATCTCTGTGTTTGCAAGGAAAAGAAAAAGCTATCAGAGCAGGTCTAGAGACATAATTTATAAAATACAATATATTTAACAACGTTTTAGGCTCTTCGAATAACTTTGAAGATGCTCAATTTTTTATGTACAACTTAGTTAGAAACAAAAGAATAGCATTTAAGTGAAAGAACAAACCACAAACCTTCCAGCAAAATGATGGTAACCTCCTCCCACACCATAATGAGATTTCCCTTTCGTTACATCGAACACCGATCTAATTCAAAAGCACAACCAAATAAACATCAAAATAAGTAACTGCTAAGTCAGTTCTTGTAAGTAAAATCATATATCACAGAGAATGAAAAATATTACCCAAGAATGCCTAAGAGAATCGGTCTCGAGTCATCAGTTCCGTTGTACAAAGCCAATTCTTCTACACTGAACAATCTCTAACAGCAGAAGCAAAATCAATTCAATTTCTAATTCAAAATATATGCAAAACTGAATAGAGATAATATAATGATCCGAACCTGCTGGGGTTTGAATTTGATGGAGGAAAATCTTGTAATTAGAGCAATTAACGCCACCAAAGCTGTGATTCCAACAAATGGAGACGTTAGTATCTTCTTAACAGCCATCGCAACTCAGCTTTCGAGAGTCTCGAATCAAATAGGGATCAGATTGTGAAAATGGAAAAGTAATTGGATTAATTTAAGCTCAACTGTGCCATTTTGAGCCCCAACTTTTACTGCAGTGCTTCACTGTTTGAATATAATTGAGTTTTACATTTAACGTGGGAAGATTATCATTTAAGGACACTTATTTTGTAAATTTCAAAAAGGACACTAGATTTGGAAAATATCATAGAAGGTTCAAATTTTTACTAGTAAGGGCAAAATGGTAATAAAATTAAAAGAATGGTTAGATAGGAATACACTTGGAGATCTTGATCAAAATATCAAATAAGCCCCTGAAGTATGACAAACTCATTAAATCCCAATTGTTGTCGAATAAACAAATCCCCCCTTATTTAAAGACACAAAACCTCCCCAAAACCCTTGTATAACCGATAACTATAACAAGCAGCGTCTTCTTCAAATGCTCCTCAACTCAAACTCGTGAAAATTATGCCCGTAATCCATGCCAATCTCAGCCACGTAACAAATTTCCGCCCAATTCCATGCCTCAAATATGGAATTTCGAGTAAGAATCAGAAATGTCATCGACTTGGGACAATCAGGGCCGCAGGAAATGATCACTATTCGACTTTGAATGTCGGTCGGAACGCCACGTTGCAGGACATCAAGACATCTTACAGAAAGCTTGCACGTAAGGTCAGTTGATTGTGAACAGAGCTGACTATTTACTAATTAAATTGCCTTAATAATAAATTTGGAAATTTCACCATTTTAGTTCCTATTAATAACTTTATGCTATTGTTCAAGACAATGTTCTTAGTAGTGGATACCAGCTAGTTCAGCTTGTTCGACTTTTTCGAGAGGCTACTAATAATTGAAGCGAAGGCGGTTTCAAATGATTAAGTGAGAAATAGATGATGAATATCATAAGGGCATTATTTGATAGTTGAAAGTAAGGAAAATTATTATACATTCATATTCAGACGAAGGAAAATTATTATACATTCATATTCAGACGAATAACGAACGAACCTTTTAGTTTTACTAAGCTTCATTGAGGCGAAAAGGTCATGATTTTGGTTCATAGTATGGAAACTTCATTTTGTGTTTGTATGTTTAAATTGAATTTCTTCTTTGTTGTTTATTTTTCTTATGTACTTTGTTGTAAAGGATTGACTTGATTACATTTGTGATTAGGACTAAGATTATAATGTTATTTTTAAATTGTGAAATTTGGATTACAGTTTAGTTTTAGTTGTATTGTATGATTGAATGACATTGTTCATTTATTTTCTTGAATTTGGTTTATTGTAGAATTAATTAGGGTATGAAAGCCTATTAGTGAATAACAATAATTACAGATATACACATTATTTAGCCCATCCTAATGTAAATTTCTGGCTATTAGTAGGAGAGAAAAAACCCAGAATAGTTGACCTTGAGAATCTTCTGAAACAAGTTTAGACTTGTAAAAGTAGATAACATATGTATCTCCTTAATATTTTTATATATGCTAGTTTTTCCTGGTACCTAGCATATATAAAAACATTTTTTTTGGTAACTAAATATACAGCACATTCATGTTTGTATGATGAGAAATTTGTTTTGAAAGCACCCCCTGGCATTGAGTTCGAGTTGTATCAAGGGGTGGCCAATTATCATACCTAAAAAAAAAAAAAAAAATTGTTCTATTTTTTTTTTTCATTTGTTTAGCCCTTTTGTTTCCAAGGACAGCTTCATCTTTTTTCTTCTCAGACCTTGTCCCTGTTGTATCTTCTTTTGGATGGCATAATTTTCCAGTTTCTTACTAAAACAAAAAATTCCTTTTTTTTCACAGTATCATCCGGATATAAACAGGAGTCCTGGGGCAGAAGAAAAGTTCAAAGAAATAAGTTCTGCGTATGAGGTAACTACTTTTCTTCCAAATGTAAATGCATCTTCCTCTATCTTCTATGTGGTTGCCTATTGTAAATATATTTTCGGATTCAATAAAATTACGTGGTTAGTTTTCTAGGAGTGCCAGCTACACTTTCTTTTATTTTTTTACTCTCTTTAACTCTTTTTTGTTTGTTTCATGCTAATTGTGAACTATTTTGTGAATTATCTAAATAAAATGAAAACATAGTACAAAGGCATTAATCCACATAAGGGCTGGACACTTGGCATGAGAAGAAGCAGCAAGTGTAAAGGAGAGTTAGTTTCTTTTAAAGAAAGAAAATATTAGAGTGTGAATTGGAAAATTTTATTAGCGTTTCTCTTTTTCTAATTTGTTCTTAAGTATTTGGCATTGAATTTTCATTTATTTATTTCCTGGATTCATAATTTCTGTGTAAGTGGCATTGTTTTTTTTTTTTCTAGTGATGACGTGTTGATATTGATCTAGGGGATTCAACCTCTAAAAATTTTCAGACTCGATTGCTTATGTTGTATATACATTTTCTGCTTTCTCTTTATCTCCTTAATTTTATTTTTTGGCTAATAAAGCATTTGTGTAGGTCCTGTCAGATAATGAGAAAAGATCTTTATATGACCGCTTTGGTGAGGCAGGTATAAATGGACAATTTGATGGATCGGGCGGTGGTTCAGAGGGGGTAAGGTCATATTTGAAAGTGTTTTCATAAACAGCCATATTTTGGTTGTCATGTGAACATGATGTTTTTGCTATATGCTCTCAAGAGACCAATTCTGTTGCTTTTCTTTTCTTGTTGGGGTAGTGATGGATCCAAGCAGTTGTTGATGCATGATTTTGCTTCTGGTTTTTTGACATATCTACATTTTATTTTCAGGTTGATCCATTTGAAATATATAATGCATTCTTTGGTGGTTCAGATGGGCTCTTTGGAGGAATGGGTGAGGCTGGAGGCATTAACTTCAATTTGAGAAGCAAAGGAAAGTGGAGTTTGGACATTCAGTAAGTATCTGGAGAGTAATCATTAAATATTGACCTATTAAAACAGCCCCCCATTTTTAGTAAATAGATGCCAATAAAATTATGACATTAAGAACATTGAAATAAGAAAAAAGATAATGGAATACAGAAATCTGTTGGTGAATAGTATCAACACATACAATAAGTTTATACGTAATGCGAGGATGTCTAACTTACCTACTTGATGCATTGGTGATACATGAAGAAGGTAGTTGTGCGTTTTTTGCATTTTCTCAAGAAATAATAAGAAACACAGTGTCTTACAATCACGACTTTCTGACAACTTCTTTTGCTTTAGTTTTCGTTTTATATTTTTGTTTATCATTATTAGTATACCTCCTAATTAATTTAAGTGTACTGCTGCCTAAATGCAGAATTTTGTGTTTTTCTTAATGTGAGTTTCTTTACATTGTAGGTACGACCTCCATTTGAGCTTTGAAGAATCAATTTTTGGAGGACGGCGTGAAATTGAAGTTTCTTGTTTTGAAACATGTGATAACTGTGGTGGAACAGGTGCTAAATCTAGTAGTTGCATTCAATCATGTAATGCTTGTGGCGGTAGAGGGGGGGTTACAAAAACCCAGAGAACACCATTTGGAATTATGTCACAGGTAATTTTACATACTAGAAAGACAATGATGATTGTTTATGGTATTGTAGTTGCTTCTAAAGTTTTTTATCGTTCAGTAAGGGAGACTGTATGTTGCTTGTGAGTAGGATTTGGCAGGTGGACCTGCTATCTTCTGCTTTTACATGAAATGAAGTCCAACATGTTGGGATATGCTATATTGATATCCTTTGCAACATGAAGGCAGCTCACTAATGTTCTTTTTGCATCATTGGAATCTTAATGAGAGTGTGGGTACTAGTTAGTGTAGGAGGGAAGGGCCTTTCACAATTGGATCCTGCAAATTCTGGCAAATAAGGCATGAATTCACAGGCTGCAAGGCCTAAGGTTTAAACTCCAAAAATTAGAGTAAAGAGAATAGAATTTGTCTAAAGTAATATTGTTGGAACCAGAAAATTTTATTAATTTAGACAGGTTATTATGTTAGACTGATTAAAATAACATAATCACAATTACCATTTTTTGAGACATTTAACAAGATTAGCATACGTATATGATATAAATGCCTAGAATTCACAATTTATATCTCAAAATTAATTATTTGGATATGATTTGATTTATCTTAATTTTAATTATGAATAAAAGGTTTATAAACAATCAGGTTTAGGTTTGCTTTAATACAATTCTTGGATGAGTAGGAAAGGTCTATAAACGGTATTAAGGTTTATTATAATAGCCCTTTTACTAGATTAGGGCTATTCACAATTATATGAATTGTGAAACTATTGTGGCCATTTTCCCATCCAATTTGGGAAATTTGTAAATTACTTTCTTTCCTTTTATCATCTGACATAATTAGGAAAAGTGATATGTCATGTGTTCACATTTCTATAATGCGTCTTTTTATATGAGAGCAAGTAGTATTGCTTAATTATGTGTTACTTGATTTATCTGCATCACATTATTTATAGGTTTACCTCCTGTAGTGTATACTGCACTGATGTTACTGTATTATTTATAGGTATCTACTTGCTCCAGGTGCGGTGGTGATGGCAAGATAATAACTGATCGTTGCCGAGTATGCAGTGGCAATGGTAAAGTACAGTCAAAGCGAAGTATGGAAGTGGTTATCCCACCTGGTGTTCATGATGGGGCCACCATGCAAATTCAAGGAGAGGGGAGTTTTGATAAGATGAGGTGAGTATACAAATGAAGATTGTTAAGTTTTCGCCCAATGCAAAAGCTAAATTAATAGGTAAAGGCTCACCAATAGTACTTAAGCTCTAACACTTTCCTCGCTTGCAATGCATGTTGATTGAACACATTAATACATCAGGAGGAGCACAAGACTTACTTTGTTCACCTGATTTTGATATATTTAAAGTCATCATTCAATCTAAAAGTTTAAATATGGTCTAAAAATGTAGTACATGTTTGATACTTCTTGTTTATAGGCTAAAAGAGGTCTTTAAATGTTCATATCTCTCCTTGTTTTATTTTCTTCCATTGTTTGGTTGCAGTTCACTAAGAGTTCGTGGATAATTAAATAAAGGCCAAAATGCATGTTCCCACCCTAGATTTGGCGAAACGACAATTTCCACCCCTAGTTTGAGAAACTATCAACGTTCCAGCCATAATAAATTTAGATTTGACCATTAAAATACCTATTTTACCCATCAGATTAATTTATTCTAAATTAACTTAAAATTAAGCAAATCTTTGATATTTTATCCAAATTGATCAGAATTTAGTTAATCCTAATTAAAATCTACCCAGACAAACACTCTCTAAATTCATTTATCACCCAAACAAAATTTATCTGGCCATCAAAACTCAAATCAAAATCCATACAAAATTTTCGTTCTTTTCACAACATTCTTTCACCATTTCACAGCCCCACTCAATGATCAAAACCATAACTAGTAATAAAAAACAAAATAAATTAAAACAAAAAATCACAATCCAAAACAAATTCACAGCCGAAAAGGAGAACAGCTGGAGGGTGGACAGTGTCCTAGAGATGGCTTGCTTGTGACAGACCAGGAGGGAGGTAGCATTGTTGCGGCCATATCCGCCATGCCGTCACTAATCCTCTAGGTCCAACAGCATGCAAACCCAGCAGCTCCAATCAATTAGTTGATTTTGGGATTTTTATTTTTGATTTGATTTGGAAGAAAGAAGGTCATGGTTTCGTGTTTTGGAAGGGGCAGAATCAATTTGTTTGTTTGCTTGTATAGATTGATTGTGTTGATGGTGTTAGATGGATTCAATTGAAGTGGGTTTTCATATTCGAATTGGGGAAGATTTGACTTTAAAATATTGGGAGATTGTTGTAACAATGGGGATAGCAAGCTTTTTGACATCGAAGCCAGGGAGCAACCAACCACGGCCTGGCAGCGACGGCCAAACCTAGATTGGCTTGCCGGCCAGTGGTTATGTAATATTTTTTTTTTTTAAATTTACATGTTTTTAATTTAAATTGGATGAATTGAGATTTGAATTAGAGCTTAAATAGTTTTTGCTTTTTGGAGTGTTTTGGTTTGTTTAAATAACATATTATTGTCTTAATGACTAAATTACCCTTAGCGTTAAAGTTAACAGTTGAAAATGAAAAATGGGTTGAACATTGATAGTTCTCCAAACCAGGGGCGGAAAATGTCGTTTGGCCAAACCTGGGGGGGAAATGTATTTCGGTATTAATTAAACTGTTTCAATGCTTACTAGGAGAAGCTCAAAATTTAAGTTTCTTTACTAAGCCCTTTTAATCTCTTTTAGAAATTTTAAAATATCAAAGGCAATCTTTTTTCATTTTAAAAATTCCATAGTACTGACTCTTTAAATGACTTTTCTGGTAACTGTTACAAGAAAACTTATTTTGAAGTTACAAAATAAAATGAACTGTTTTAATTGAAAGCCAAATGACCAAATGTTTCTTAATCAACCTTATTATGCTAACTTTTTAGCCTGTTTCTTTCTGTGATAAAAGATGATTTTCTTATTCCTTCGTTTTTCTTTTTTTGGTTTTTTAACTGCAATATTATTCTCAACTATTGGATGCTCTCGACACCATCAAAGAAAAGATTTTGTTTCAATTTTCAGAATGGTGTTCTTTTCCTGAGTCTGCTTTTGATTCTGCTTAGTATACAGGAACTGATTGAATAAAGCTCCTCACACTTCTTTTTTCCTTCAGGAGGAAGGCTGGTGATCTCTTCATAGTCCTACATATCGATGAAAAACAAGGAATTCAGAGGGACGGCCTTAATCTTTACTCAAAGATAGATGTTGATTATACTGAGGCGATTCTAGGGACTGTAAAAAAGGTTGGTTATACTTCAAATTTAGAAAAAAATTGGAATCTTCCTTTCTAGACTGTTATTTTATATAGTGTTTCTTGCCTCTTGAGTCTTGAGAATATTTTTATCCTTTTTATGATTTTATATTTCTGATGAAATTACATGAATATATTTTGATGTTAAGATCTTAAAACAACTGTAGGTAGAAACTGTTGAGGGAATGAAAGATCTTCAAGTTCCTTCTGGGATACAGCCTGGAGATGCAGTTAAATTGCGACATATGGGCGTCCCCAACTTCAATAAACCTTCTGTTCGGGGTGATCATATCTTTATAGTGAACGTTCTGATTCCCAAAGATATCAGGTATGAGATCTTTTACTATATTAATCATCTTCTTAAGATTGAGGAACTTAATGTGATGGTCATAACAGTGACACAGAACGTATACTTGTTGAGGAACTAGCTTCTCTTAAATCATCTCGTAGAGGCCATTCGGTTTCTTCCAACAATACAGGTATTTTTTTCATTTTAACTCGATGTTATAAATAGGTCATTGTACTGTCGAATGTTTGATGAAGGTAGAATGGTTATTCAAATTTTCTGGTATTTTGATACATTTATGCTGTTCCTTGCCAGAAACAGCCCATGGCAACTCGGACCAAGATAGAGATCACAGAAAACATACTTCAAGCCAAGGGACCAAACGTTTTGGGAATTTATGGAATTCTATTAAGGACTTTTTGGGGTATGTATCGGTGACAGTTCTTATAAGATATGCTCTGATTCTTAAATTCATATGTGCTTCGCATTGCAATTAGAGAGGATAATCAAACTCCCATCTTCAGTTTCTTCAGTACCTTTGAGTCCCTAGGCATAACCAGGGGATTTTCGACCAACTGAGGAGTCTAATGCACTACATGCAATTGTATGTTATTTTGAATATAAATAACCTAAGAGAGAGTAGATTCTTTAATTTTCGATTTAGAGTTGTCGTACGTTGTATGTTTATGCAAACTTAGATGAAGTTCATTAGATTCAAGAACTAAAAGACATTTACTAAATCAGACAATTTAGTTTCCAGCCAGCAGTTAGCCTTTCGTTTACATTGTTGATCCTCCCGTCCTAACTATTTTTAAACTGGCAGGCAAAGGCAATCCGAAGAAAGGTTTGCATCAATTAGTGTCGACTCACCACAATCGCTGAAGGTTAGCAAGCCAGATTCTTTGCTCATGGTTTCAGCTTTTACAGTGTTTTCTGTAACTTTTATTATTAACCTGATGACAAAGGCAAACAAATGTGTGTCACTGCCACAAAGAGATCATAAAATGCAATAAGAACACTACAATGGCATTTTTCTGGCCTTATTGAACATGACTGACTCATTCTTGTTTGATCCAAAATATTTGCAGCTTATTCAAATTCTCCAATCAAAAATCTGCCTTAAATACATGAAAATTCTCACTTGCGGATGTTTTCTAACGAACTTTTGCATTTTTTAAAGTAATATTTTCAGGTGTACATATATATATATATATATACATCTTGAAATTTTAACATGCTCAGACATTCTGAAGTTTTTAATATGTAGATCGAAGGTTAACTATTGGTTGTTGGCTTCGATTTTTTGGATTTGTGAAGTCAAGAACCGATCGCTGGCTTTTGATTTGCATTCGATCGTTGTCTTGAAATTTTAACATGCAAATCAAAAGCCAGCGATCGGTTGTTGACTTCACAAACTCAAAAAATCGAAGCAAACAACCAATCGTTAACCTTCGATCCACATATTAAAAACTTAAAGAATGATCGGAGAACATATAAATATGTAAATGTTAAGTGAACCAATTAGCTAACAATAAATGTGGCTCCAAGAATAATAATCTATTGGCCTCTAATAACTCAAAAATGGTACAATAAACTCCGTATACCCAAAAAGAGGACTTGTCCTCTTCAGTCTCTCAAAAATTTAATTACAAGAATTAATGGCATAATTTTATGGCCGTTTTGTTAGATTTCAGGCAATCTTTCTTGTTCATAGAATGATGACTAAATAAATATCAAATTATCAAACCAAAATTTTCTTTAGGTTTGGTGAGACTTCTACATCAAACATCTTTTAACGATGCAATAGGTTTTAAATGAACAACTAGAATTCTAGAGCAATTTTAAAGGGTATATTATAAGTTTAAAATTTTTATTTTATTAAGTAGTGTTATTAAAAAACCCATTTCATAACTACAACAAAGAAAAAATAATTTAAAATAATTAGATCAAGGCATTATAAGTAACATAACAGATAAGAATGTAGGGTATTGTTTGACTCAAAATATAAATATCCCAAATGGTTTGAAAGAAAATGGGTCCGTTTGTTTTGTTATTTTGGATATGATTTTTGATATTTTTAGGGTTGGGTGAGAATAACGAGGTAGAATTTAAAAATTAACAAAAACACTCCCTAAGTTTGCTAATTTACTAAATACCCCAATAAATAAATTTTTTTATAAAATAAAAAAAACACCCCCACCTACAGTCGCCAGATTCCGACCACCACAGCCGAAATCTAGTGTTACAGCGCACGACCAGCCAGATCTGGCCGTTAGTGTGCCGATATAGCCTTTTTCCGGCCAGTTAATCCGTGGCCAGAAAAGGTCATATCTTTAGCCGTGGATCTAACCTTTTCCGATCAAATCCATAGTGGGTCTGGCCAGAAAATGATAGATTGACACACTACCGGCCAGATCCAACAGGTAGTGTGCCATTATACCAGATTCCAGCCACCTTCTGGTGGTGGTGGTCGGAACTCGACAAATGTGGGTGAATAGGGGTGTTTTTGTTAATTTTTAAACTTTTTTTATGAAGGTGTTTAGTTAAATTAATAAACTTAAAGGATTTAAAAATAGTTTAAGAAAATATAATAGTATTATGAAGATAATGAAATAAACAGTTATTTTGAGAATATGATTGAGAATAGGATATAAAATATTGAATCAAACGAACCCTTAACTTCTTCGAGAGGACCAAAATTATGATGTCGGTACTTTTTATTAATATCAAGTCAAATCATGTATAAATGTCGTAACTTTTGGTATGACCAAAGTTTTTCTTGCTCTTATCTATTTTGAATTTAAGAATAAATACAACTAAAACTAAATAAAAGTTTCGTATCACTTCGAATGAATCCAAAACCTCAAGTTTACGTTATTATTTCAAGTTGAGAAATAAGTTGTTCATACAATTTACCAACATAATAGAAAATTCATCTTTCTTATATAAGTGATAAAAGACTTATAAAAGTATACATTTTTTCAAATCAACCACCGTAATATATGTAGCTAAATAAGATGATAATAATATTAATTTAAAAGATGATTAAATCCTCTTGACTTGCTGCCTAATTGACCCTTTCAAGCATAATTTAATTAATTGTAACAAATTACTATAAAGAAATATTATAAAAATTCTTCCTTTACAGTAAGATATTTATTTCTTGCACGCTTTTTTATTTTATTTGAAATAATTTTGCTTTGATTTGCTCAACTACCCGTAGAAAAATATGTATATTTTGTATTATAATTAATTTTTTTGCACTTTGGTCCCCTTATTTTTCAAATCCAAAATAGAATACATATATAATTTTTTTTGCACTTTCGTCCTCTTATTTTTCATAAGAATAAACTTTCCATTATAATAAATTATGATTTTTCAATGTCATGTCTTAAAAAACTTGTCTCCATATAATAATAATTATTTGTATTAACTTTGTATAAAGAAAAATATCACGAGTTCGGGCTATTTCCAAGTTTAAATAGGTTTATTTACACGTTATTCATCTATATTTATCAAGTATTTAATGATTTATCCGTTGATTCTATATTGAGTAATACTATTGTTATCAAAGGATATGCACTTAATGACGTGATGCAATCTTGACTGTCGATTAATTATAAATTAATATTAATCGACGGTTAAGATTATATCACGTCATTCGATACACGAATTTGATGTGCATCCTTCAATAACTGTATTATTTTCTTTCTATATTACATCCATTTATATAGAAGAGTTTGTAGGGTGTTGTTATTATTATTTTTAATGTCAATAAAAATACAAAAGATATTATCTATTTTAGGATATTGTTGGAATTTTTAGACAACAAAATCAACATGTGTTGTCTGAAAAGCCCTTTTATTTTTCCCCAACATAACAAAATTCGGATAATCCCACAACAAATAAAATAATAACAGCTGTCTAAAAATTAAGAGCACAAAAGAGACAAAATACAAACCAAATCCGTAAAAAAAATAAAAAAAATAAAAAGAAAAAGACAAGCAAACTCATCCAAGTAAAATAATGTTTTAAAAAAGAACAAAGCTGAGTTGACTGTTATGTACAGCTAGGGTTCCCTTTTAACTATAGTATATAGTACAAGTTATGGGTCAATATCGATAAGACCCATGTGGTTTTAAAAATATTAAAGATAACCCTAAAGGTTCAAAATTGAGTACTTGAGTGTCTTTTTTATGCTTTTTAAAGTACAAAGAGTTTATTATTGTTTTGTAGGGTGTGCATAATTTATTTCAATTAAGTGTTTACCAACCTTAAGTTTAACCAAATAAAGTTATGTATGATGAAAATCTACACCAAACCATAAAATATAAATATTTCATAATAAATTTATTCAAATAAATTTTAACTAAATATATACCATTGGCCAATTAAACTTCAAAATAGATTGGATTTATTACCTTAATTATCAAAACCCAAATTTAAGTTTTTCAGATTTTTCAATAACTCCCCTAGGGGGTCCATTGCAAAATATTAGACCTTAGTAGAGTCTCCCTTACACTTAACTCTCCCAGCCTGTCTGTCTCCCTTTTACTCTTCACTCTCTACTGTCTTGATTTGAGCCTCCGCACACTTTATCTTCTTCTTCTTCCTCTACAGCTCATCCATGTCTTCTTCTTCTTCTTCTTCTTCTAATTCCTCTTCCTCTTCTTCTTCTTCTTCTTTACTTTAAAGCTCTCATAAACCGAAGCAAAAACGACCCACATTGCAGAAAAACTCATAAAAAATGAACCTTCATAACCTCTCCTTTCTTCTTCTTCTTCTTCTCTTCTTCTTTCATTTCCCTTCTTCAAAACCAGATCTCTCTTCCGACCGTGCAGCTCTTCTCGCCCTCCGCTCCTCGGTCGGCGGCCGTACGCTCTTCTGGAACGTCTCGCAAGCGAGTCCCTGCAACTGGACTGGTGTTCTTTGTGGACAGAACCGAGTAACGGTGCTCAGACTCCCCGGTGTAGCTCTGTCCGGAAAAATCCCACTTGGCATTTTCGGTAACTTGACCGCTCTCCGCACTATCAGCTTCCGTCTGAACTCTCTCTCCGGCCAACTCCCTTCTGATCTTGGTCTCTGTTCTAATCTCCGTAATTTATACATCCAAGGCAACCATTTTTCCGGCGAGATCCCCGAGTTTTTGTTCACTTTACATGGCCTTGTCCGGTTAAATCTCGCCAGTAACAATTTTTCCGGCGAGATCTCTTCTGGGTTCAACAATTTGACGAGGCTGAAGACTTTGTATCTCGAAAGCAACAGCCTTTCTGGTTCAATTCCCGAGTTCATGTTACCAAATCTTCAGCAACTTAACGTTTCAAACAATTTGCTAAACGGGACGATTCCGAAAGCCCTTCAAGCTTTCGGGTCAAGTTCATTTCTGGGTAATTCTCTTTGTGGGAAACCGCTTGAAGATTGCCCAAAAAGCGACAGTGTGATTGTTCCAAGTAAACCCATCGGTGGGGATAGCAATGAGAAAGGGAAAAAGAAGAAGCTTTCCGGCGGAGCAATTGCCGGCATTGTGATTGGATCCGTTTTAGGGTTTCTCTTAATTGTAATGATTTTGATGATTTTGTGTAGAAAGAAGAGCAGCAAGAGAAGCAGGTCAGTTGACATTGCTTCATTGAAGCAACAAGAAGCTGAACTTCATGGAGAGAAAGGAACTGTTGGGGAGGTGGATAATGGTGGTGGGTACTCGGTTTCGGTGGCGGCGGCTGCAGCCGCGGCAATGGCGGGAAGTGCTAAAGGGGAAGTGAATGGTAACAGTGATGGTCCTAAAAAGTTAATATTTTTTGGAAATGGAGGGAGAGTTTTTGATTTGGAAGATTTGTTAAGGGCTTCTGCGGAAGTTCTTGGAAAAGGGACTTTTGGTACTGCATATAAAGCTGTTTTGGAGATGGGAACTGTGGTGGCTGTGAAGAGATTGAAGGATGTAACAATTTCTGATAGAGAATTCAAGGAGAAAATCGATGCCGTTGGCGCAATGGATCATCAAAATTTAGTCCCTCTTCGAGCTTATTATTATAGCAGAGATGAGAAACTTCTTGTTTATGATTTCATGCCAATGGGAAGCTTGTCTGCACTTTTACATGGTGAGTTCAAATCATGGCTTTGCCTTTCAGATTTTGTGCTTTTGGTTTTGTTTAGTTCAAGTTTTTGCTTTCATGAATTGAATGATTGATCAAATTAGTGACTTTTTTATAAGCATCAAATTTTGTTTGAACCAAACTCCATGAACAAAAGCATCAATTTTGATTGGTTTCATAAGTATTTTGCATCTTGTTTTGAACATTTTAGGAAACAAAGGAGCAGGTAGGACTCCATTGAATTGGGAAATCAGGTCAGGCATTGCGCTGGGAGCTGCCCGTGGCATCGAATATCTGCACTCTCAAGGCCCTAATGTCTCCCATGGAAACATAAAATCATCGAACATTCTGCTAACGAAATCTTATGATGCGCGAGTCTCTGATTTCGGCTTAGCGCACCTCGTTGGCCCTTCCTCTACCCCCAACCGGGTAGCCGGCTATCGTGCACCAGAGGTCACTGATCCTCGCAAAGTATCCCAGAAGGCTGATGTCTATAGCTTTGGTGTGCTGCTCTTGGAGCTTCTCACCGGAAAGGCCCCAACTCATGCCCTCTTGAATGAGGATGGCGTCGATCTTCCCAGATGGGTGCAGTCCATCGTTAAAGAGGAGTGGACTTCAGAGGTTTTCGATCTCGAGCTCCTCAGGTACCAGAACATTGAAGAGGAGATGGTTCAGCTCTTGCAGCTCGCCATAGATTGCACGGCGCAATACCCTGACAACCGCCCTTCAATATCCGAAGTAACAAGGCGTGTCGAGGAGCTATGTCGTTCGAGCATTCGAGAAGAACAAGATCCTCAGCCTGATCAGTTGATCAATGCAGATGATGCACCTTCACTATGAGTAGTTACTGAAAATTCATCCCAGAATTACAATGTTGGTTTTACTTGTATGTCTGATTTGGAGCCATCAATCTTCATTGTTTCATTAGGAGCCAACTGTTTTTCATCTTCATTATTAGTCCTTGTTGCACTAGATTTTTTTTTTTTTTTTTTTTTTTAAATTTTAATTTCCATTAATAGTTTGAGGTGGAAACCTGTTCAAATTGTTCTTGTTGGGTGGAAAGATGGTGGTTGTAATTATTGTCAGATTTGCTTTTGCTTTTAGCTTTTGCTTTTTGATGCTTACTTTTGATCTGTTCTGGTTGAGATGTTTAAGATGTTGGTTGCAAGTTGCACCTTGCACCGCGTTTCTCTGAGCAATTTCATAAAACAATAGAATAATAATAATTTTTAAATTATGTTTTTCGATATATGTACATTCGTTCAATCTCTTTTTCGAGTTTTTGGGTTTAAATCTTGGGTCATTTATCAGAATAATATCGTGGCTTACCAAGTTTTTTTAGTTTATAGAACGTTCAATAGATACCGAGAATTAGTTGACAGACACGCAAAGTTGGCTTGAACATCCTGATTATCTAAAAAAAAAAAAAAAAAGTACAAAAATCATAATACCTGCAAGCTATATACGGTGATATAAGTTAAATCCATTATCTTTCGATTTGAGTTTTCATTTATAGATTGATATAGTCTAAAATAAATGAATACGAAGAAAGACTTTTCATTTATAGATTGATATAGTCTAAAATAAATGAATACGAAGAAAGACTTATAGCATCTCTAAAATACTCTTTATATTATCCAAACTCTTTATTATAAAGAGTTTATCCATAGAAACAACAGTTCAACAGACTCTTTATTCTTTAAATATAAATTAAAGAATGAGTTTGACTCTCCACATTTAGGAAGTCAAATTTCACTCTTTAACCTAATTTTAAATAATAAATAACATATTTTTTATGCATTTTATTTATGATTTATCTCTTATTCAGTTTCTTTCTTAAAAAAAAAAACATATTCTCTCTCCTAAAATTTAAAAAGTCTATTGGATTTGAATAAAAAATTTGTTCTTTATATTTAAAAATCAATAAAGATGTTCTTTAAAATAAAGAACACCATTTGAGATGCTTTTATATACGCAAAGGTAAATCACAAACGTCAATTAATCTATTTAGGTCTATTGAACACCATACAAACGCAGTTACTTTCCACTATTAGAACACTAAGAATTTGGATAATTAGCCCACATGACTAAAGGCTAATTATCCAAATTCTTACGGTGATATCTGTTAAATCCATTATCTCTCGATTTGAGTTTTCATTTATAGATTAATATAGTCTAAAATAAATGAATACGAAGAAAGATTTAGAGCATTTTCAAATGACTCTTTATATGACTTAAACTCTTTATGAGTTTGACTCTCTATACTTAGAGAGTCAAATTTCACTCTCTATCATAATTTTAAATAATAAATTACAAGTTTCTATACATTTTATTTATGATTTATCTCTCCTATTAAGTTTCTTTCTTTAAAAAAACATATTCTCTCTTTTAAAATTTAAAGAGTCTGTTAGATTTGAATAAAAAATTTGTTCTTTATATTTAAAAATCAATGAAAATGCTCTTTAAAATAAAGAACACTATTAAAGATGCTCTTATGTACGCAAAGGTAAATCACAAACGTCAATTAATCTATTTAAGTCTATTGAACACCGTACAAGCGCGGTCACTTTCCACTATTAGAACACTAAGACTTTGGATAATTAGCCCACATGACTAAAGGCTAGTGGTTAGAATAAACATGTTGTGCTGTTGCTCTTTTTGTCAGTGCCCAAAGTAAATTTGCAGTCTTAACTCTTCTTGGTATGTGTTTGGGTTGGGAAACCCTAAGAGTCAGGTTTGATTTTGTTAACTTTCATTTTCCAAGAAAAGTTTTATTCTTTGTTCAATGATTTAGCATCCTACAAAGTATGCTTAAAAGAAAGTGATGTCTCTTTTACTTTTTTTACATTCATTTTTATCTTTACAATTCTACATGGGAGCATAAATTATACCTATATGTTATACATATACGTATACGTATACGTATGCTCTTTTATTAAATAAATAAATATTTTTAATCTAAAAAAGTGTAATGTTTTCTCTTTCTGGCTAGTATACTTGCGAAATAAACAGTAAAACTCGNGCTTAAGATGTTGGTTGCAAGTTGCACCTTGCACCGCTATTCTCTGAGCAATTTCATAAGACAATAGAATAATAATAATTTTTTAATTATGTTTTTCGATATATGTACGTTCGGTCAATCAAATCATATAAATCCATTGTGAAGGAGGTTTGTTCTCTTTTTCGAGTTTTTGGGTTTAGATCTTGGGTCATCTATCACAATAACATCGCGGTTTACCGAGTTTTTTTAGTTTGTAGAGCGTTCGATAGATCCCGAAGATTAGTTGACGGACACGCAAGTTGGATTGAACACCCTGATTACCAAAAAAAAAATAATAATAATACAAAAATCACAGTATCTGCGAGCAGCTATATACGGTGATATAAGTTAAATCCATTATCTCTCGATTTGAGTTTTCATTTATAGATTGATATGGTCTAAAATAAATGAATACTAAGAAAGACTTGGAGCGTCTCTAAATGACTCTTTATAAAGAGTTTATCCATAAAAACAAGAATGCAACAGACTCTTTATTTTTTAAATATAAATTAAAGAGTGAGTTTAAATCTCCACATTTAGAGAGTCAAAATTTATGCTCTATCCTAATTTAAATAATAAATTACAAATTTCTATGCATTTTATTTATGATTTCTCTCTCCTACTCAGTTTCTTTCTTTAAAAAAAAAACATTTTCTCTCTTTTAAAATTTAAAGAGTCTATTGGATTTGAATAAAAATTTTATTCTTTATATTTAAAAATCAACGAAAATACTCTTTAAAATAAAAAATACCATTAGAGATAGTCTTATACACGTAAAGGTAAATCACAAACGTCAACTAATCTATTTAGGTTTATTGAACATCGTACGAGCGCGGTCACTTTCCAACTATTAGAACACAAAGACTTTGGATAATTAGCCCACATGACTAAAAGTCTTACACCGGAAGGGTAGTGGTTAGAATAAACATGTTGTGCTGTTGATCTTTTTGTCAGTGCCCAAAGTAAATTTGCAGTCTTACCTCTTCTTGGTATGTGTTTGGGAAACCCTAAGAATCAGGTTTGATTTTGTTAACTTTCATTTTCCAAGAAAAGTTTTATTCTTTGTTCAATGATTTAGCATCCTACAAAGTATGCTTAAAAGAAAGTGATGTCTCTTTTACTTTTTTACATTCATTTTTATCTTTACAATTCTACATGGGAGCATAAATTATACCTATATGTTATACATATACGTATACGTATACGTATGCTCTTTTATTAAATAAATAAATATTTTTAATCTAAAAAAGTGTAATGTTTTCTCTTTCTGGCTAGTATACTTGCGAAATAAACAGTAAAACTCATATAGATATGACAAATTTATACATGTAAATGAGTATACAAAAATTGGGCTCATTCCTATCTGTAAAAACATTGAAAACAACGAGGTGAATACTATTTGCTCAATAAGTAAACCCGTTAAGCTACTCTTCTTTTTCCGTTGTTCAGATTCTAAATTTCTTTCCTTACAAACATTTCTCTCTTCTCTGTTCTTTTCTATTCTTTCTCTTTGTTCTTTCTTTATTCTTTCTTTTTATTCTTTCTCTCTCTTTTTTTTTTTCTTTTTGTTTACTTTTTAACTGAATTGTAACTAGAAAAGGGTTTATGAGTGACTAATTATATATTTTTACTAAAAAAAAATCATAATTTATTTTTGAAATTATCATGAAAAACCCCTTATAAAATTAATACATTTATATGATAGAAAAAACTTAAGATAGTGGTAGTACCAAGTTCCTATATGAGTATAAAAACTTTATGGTGGACCAAAGTTTTGATTTTTAAAATATAAAAGAAAAAAGTGGTCCTATGTGGGTGAATGATAGTCTATATTTTGGTAGCATCCAATGCTTCAATTTTGTTTTTGTTTTATAATACAAAGTAAATAAAATAAAATAAAATAAAATGTTACACTTTTGTCACCTTCTCTTGTGTATTTTTGTGGGTTTGGATAAATACAAAATTCTTCATCACATGATACAAAAGTTAAGACATTCATGCCAGTTTATCTACAAAATGGATACCAACTACCAGTAACTTTCTATAAATAATTAATTGTCTTTTCAAATTGGGCACTTTTTATTTATTTACTTTAATCTTTTTACCCAAATCACATAAATAATTGGATCAAAGTTTTTTTGTTTTTTGTTTTATATTTAATAGAAGGGATTAAGTTTGAAACTCATATATCAGTAACTCAAATAGTTAGGATTAATTAGAGAGAGTGTAAATGGACGCATTGTTTTAAAACCCAGACTAGAAGATAAACCGTTTTGTTGCCCGAGCTACAGGTCAACCGGTCCAACCGATTAGACCGATGATGTCAGCGATAATTTCATTTTTAAAAAATTATTATTAATCCCTCAAATTTTAATATATTACAAAAGTTCCCCTAAAGAGTTCAAATTAGTTGCTAAAATTTTTATTTATTTCAAAAATACCCCAAAAGTTACCAATTAATCCCTAAACTTTTAACATATCTCCAAAACACCCCTATAAAAGTACCATTAACCCTTATAATTTTAAAATATTATAAAAACCCCCCTAAGACCTGAACTGGACCGAAAAAACTGCCAGGTCTTGGTCCGAACAACCAGTCCAATCCGATTTTTAAAACAGAGAATAGATTTACGATCTCATATTTGATTCCCCATCTGAACATACCCGGTTTAAGTGAATGCTTTGAAGAAAATAAAAAGGATTGAGTTTAATAAACAAAAAAAATAGTTTTATTTGTAATTTTAATTATTGAAATATGAAATTCATATTTTTGTGACTTTTGAAATTTGAATTTGAATTTTATTTCCTCTCCATTTGGTAAACCCATTTGCATTAATTTATTTTTGCCTTTATATAATACAACTTTGTCTTACATAACATTACGTTTTATGGTTGGTGAGCCACATGTCACAATTATATTGGTTGGATAATTTTTTCTTCTGACATTTTACATTCTTACCCTTATCTTGTTCAAATTCATTAAGAATAGGATTTACAGTAGAATTATAAAATACTTAACAGAAACTTTAACAGGAATAGGATCATAGTAGAAGACTTGACAGAAACTAAGGAGCTTTCAAAATTTGAGCAATATTTTTACAAGGGTTTAAACATAAATGAGGGGATGTGTTCTCATTGCTATGGATTCAAAAATCACAGAGTAAATTCATAAGCCAAAACAGAATTATAAGTTAGAAACGTTTTGCACTTCTCAGCTCAAACAAAAATCAACAGTAAAAATTGAAACCCCAGTTGGAGTTTTTTAACTTTTTTACCTATAACAAGAAAGACCACATCCCGAACGCAGCTTCTGTCGCGAGTTTTCTATCTGGAAAAATGCAGAACTCAAAACGGGTTATAAATGACAGTGGAGATAAAGAAAGATGAAGTGGGAGTTGTGAGAGTTTGAGATACCATACATGTACAAAGGTATACAAACAATGCCGGTGAATCGGTACATCCTCATCCATACAATGTCAAAAGCTGATTCCAGCTTCTGATACGAAGATACAGTTGCTATGCATTAGGGTTTTTCGGATCATCCTTCCAACCCTTTGAAAGCAGATCATAGTTGATTGATGCAAGCTGGGAAAGATTCTAATAGCCAAAAGCAAAGGAAAGCAAGTTAGAATTGTAAAAACGAGATTTAAAAAAGGGTAAATTTGGAGGTGGGTTGTTTCTGAGGGAAGGGGTTAAAAAGAGGAGGACAGGGAGACGGCACCAAACTTGAATTATATGAAACAAAAACAAACGGTATAGATTAGCCATGAAGGAAAATAGAATTCATCAACATAACATAGGGCTAAACGGCAATGATCAATGGGCCCGTTCTCAAAAGGCTAGCTATAAGTTATAGCTAAATTCTATTATATAGCAAATTGCACCAAGTCATTGTTAACTGAATTTTAACGACAGTGGTTAAGAGAATACCTTGAATGAGAAATTACTGAAGGAGTAATTGACAGACGAGCCAGATTCGAACTCTGCAAGACCTCCACATTCATCTCCCTGTTTACATTGTTGTTCAAGAGCAAGTCAACCCCACAATACACATACATAAAGAACCTAAAAGTTCTACAGATCAATTTCCAAAACTATGCTACTTTTTAGGATGCAATACCACTTCTTCTTGGCGATTACTCAGGCAACTACTGCTGCCACTTAAGCTATCAGCATCACTGGAGTCCTCAAAGTCACTCGCTGGATATGCATGGTCATCTGAAGTATTCCATGAGTAGCGACTAGTGAAGTAACTGGTATCAAGTGCACTCTCTGAAGTGGGAACAAATGCAGCCTGTGAAAAGTGACAGCTCACACGGTTTGGTCAATCAAAGACCTTAAATTATAAGAGTGCATCATATGTCTACAAATGAATAGAAAATTACTACCTTCTGCCTGGCCAACGTGTCCCAGTTGATATCTTTGAAGAAGATATGCTGCTTCACCTGCATGATAAGATTTCTCTTCCATTACTTCAGTTTCTAAAAAAAGTAGCAAACATGAATTCCAAAATAATGAAAAAAGAAGCACAAAAACTTTAACTAAGAACCGAAATCACCTCTGATGCTCCTCCAGCTCCAAGTCTCAGATGTGGATCTTCGGTCAATAATCTGTAAAAGTGACACATCAAGAACCATAAGATACTTCAGAAAGCTTTATCAAATTCATAGAACCAGAAGTCTATCTCGGCCATACACCCACACATTAACTCTTATCCAAAGAAAAGGCACGTTGTACAAAGTTAGCAGAAGTAATAAAATGAATTTAAGACATAACATGTTATAAGCAAGAAATCATGAATCTTAAAAATTCCCTAATATAAATTTTCATGAGCCTACATTTTTAACAGTCAATTGCATACCAACACACAGTTTAACTGAGAAATTTCTATTAAGAAAAAAAGAAGATTCTCATGTTTTCCCATGTTAGCCTCCATAGAATCTTTATTAGATAAATTAATGAACCAAAAAAATAGGAGAGATGTAGGCAAATAACAGGCTAATAAGCACAAAAGGTGCACAACCCACTATCATACAAAGGAATTAATAAAATCATCGAAACAGGAGTCGATTATCAAACTTAGGCAGGTCACTTTGAAATTTCAATTTAGCATCAACGAAGGAATAAAATACTAACTGATAAATTTTCAATGATTAAGTTTTTTTCTGGACAAGGGCCATATTAAAGTCACTCATATCTAATATAATTATAAACAATAATTGGTCAGATGATACAGCAGTGAGCAGTCCTTATTACACATATGATACCCTGATGGTATGTATTTCAACACAAATGTCTGAAAGCAATACTTGGTAACCAATGATTTTCTTACCGATCAATAAGATCTTGTGCTTCAGCGCTTATTTCATCGGGTACGCTAGGCCAGGGTATTTTACGGTTCAGAATATTATCAAATATTTGCTGGAATCAAAACACACAATAAGAATTGGGACGAACTGAGAACTGATTCAATGGGAAAAAAGGGAATTAAGATGTAAACTAATGTTTTAACTCTCTCAATACATATACGCCGAGCACAATAAGTCCCTACCCATCGACTAAGGATTTTAAACATCTTGAATTCTTTGTCTAATAATACCACAAAAATAAGGACAAATCAAAAAATAAATATAGAAATATATACCCCAAAAAAACTTTAAAACAAAAAAACTAAAAGGAAGATGCTGAGAAAATATAAACACGTCAAAGAACCAGTAGAAAAGTAATTGAACCACGACTTGAAACAGTTGAGGAGCAATTAACCTGAGGATGCTCCGCATTAAAGGGTGGTATGCCGACAATTAGTTCAAATAGAATGACACCCACTGACCACCAATCCGCTGTTGTGCCTGAAATAATTTTATAACACAGAAACTCCTTAACATTATTTACAAGTAAGCATCACATGATGAAAAAAGCATCAGCTGATTAGATATATACTAAAAATGTAGTAGTCAGGTGCCCACTATGGTTTTAAAATTGCAAGATATTTCATTGTTTGCAGTAATGTTATAGCTAAATTGAAAAACATTTTAACCCATGATTAATCGTTTGGATCAAACATAACTGAGCTTTTAGGCATAAATATCCCTTCAAGGATGACACACTATTTAACACCATGTTCAACTGTAATATGAAATAAACAGATAAAGAATATTATAACTTTCAGGAATAAATGTTCCTTCAAGGATGATGACAGTTTAACACCAAGTTCAACTACAATACAAATAAACTGATAAAGAAGATCATAGACAAACCATGTCCAGTTCCCAAAAGTATCTCTGGTGCCAAATAATCAGGTGTGCCCACAGCAGAACGTTTCTTCCGCCTTTCTCGCTGATGCTCTGATACGGTCAACTGCGGCTCATCATCCTCCATTATTGATGTGCCACTAACTGCTGGACCAGATAAATCATCTGTGCTGTTGATGAGACCAACTTTGGAAAGCCCAAAGTCTGTCAACTGCCAGATGGAATGAAAGATGACTTCTAAGTTTAAATTTAGAAAAAAACAAAAAGAAATGCAAACCATCAAAAAAAGCAAATTGGGACCAAAAAGAAAAGGAAAATACAGAACAAATTAGAACCATACAAAAAAATAAATTACAATAATTGATGTCTTGCTTCTAGACAGCCTAAGGCTTTGTATGCCAACATGATCAGGTATTAACGTTACATGCAACCTAAAAATCATCATATTTAAAATTACAAAAACAAAATATTATCGAAAAAGACACACCTCATATAAGCAAGGAAAAATTGAAAAACTAGTTACCTTGATATGACCATCATGTGCAATCAACAAATTATCAGGCTTCAAATCACGATGAACCACGCGAAGAGAATGTAAATATTCCAAAGCAAGCACCTGGGACCCACAAAAAAAAGGGAACAGAATGTTCACATCTAAGAGTTGAACCATAAAGAAGCAACAAAAAAACTCCAAAATGAGAAAACTTACAACTTCAGCAATGTATACACGAGCAACATCTTCATCTAAGCAGCCTAAATTTCTCAACAATGAATATAAATCTCCTCCATTCAAATACTCCATCACAAGGTACAAGTTCTCACNGTTACCTTGATATGACCATCATGTGCAATCAACAAATTATCAGGCTTCAAATCACGATGAACCACGCGAAGAGAATGTAAATATTCCAAAGCAAGCACCTGGGACCCACAAAAAAAAGGGAACAGAATGTTCACATCTAAGAGTTGAACCATAAAGAAGCAACAAAAAAACTCCAAAATGAGAAAACTTACAACTTCAGCAATGTATACACGAGCAACATCTTCATCTAAGCAGCCTAAATTTCTCAACAATGAATATAAATCTCCTCCATTCAAATACTCCATCACAAGGTACAAGTTCTCACGGCATGTAAACGAATAGAAGAACCGAACCTGATACAGCTTCCACTCAAGTTAAAACAGGAAAAGAATTTCCAATTCAAGTAAAATTCTTTGCAAGCTAGAACTGCTCACCACAAATGGATTGCGGACAGAAATCAATATATCACGTTCTGCTAATATACTTTCAACTGCATTCTTCCGGATCATATCTGCCTTTTTAAGAACCTAACAAAATGGCAAAAACGGCAGTTATATGCAGACTGATAAAAAAACAACTCTATATTTAATAGGTCTTATAATAATCAAACAAATTACAGCAAATCAGTAAAGATATTTATGCTTATTTAATGCAGTAAAAATTAATAAATGTGGACCTTCTAAGCAGAAGCACAGGAAAAAACAATAATAATATAGCAATCAAGTACCTTTATTGCAAAAAGATCCCCTGTGGTTCTCTTTTTCGCCAAGAAAACCCGCCCAAATGCCCCACGACTAATTGGTTTTATTATCTCAAAATCATCTATCGAGGTACGATCCTTAGAAGAATGTATAGGACTTGTTCTCAAGCTACGAACAACATCATCTTCCAAAGGAGCATCTTCTTCAATTACAGTACTACTTATATCAACTTTGTCATCATCCACCAGCTCACAGAGCTGCAAATACTTCTCCCTACATTGTCATAATTCACTATGCTAAGCACAACGAAATTCCATTCAGATTATTTAAAGGCCATTGTTACAAAAGTTCCTTAACAAAAATGTCAACCAACCTTTTGAGTGGAAAGGTAAGTGTGAGCATGTCTTAATAAAAATTCAACAAATAAAGCAGCAAAACACTCACCGAATCAGCTTCTCAATACGAGTCCCAAAGGTCTCCACTGTGAGTGCATCGAACTTCCTACGGTCAATGACAACCCTTAAGTCTTCAAGACAAGTTAGCAAATACTGAATGGACCTTTCATCATTCAATGGTGTAGTTGCCGAACATCTTGCAATATCAGCAAGTTCATTCATCTGCATAATCCAGAAGGAAATTTAGCTCATCACCACCAACATTTGAACTAATATACAAAATCATCATTGAATACTAGCAAGTACTATGGCACAAATGAGCCAAGAAATACATACTATATTTATACATAGTAGCAATATTCCACTTGTAGAAAATAAGTTGTAGTCGGTACCACAATCTTATTAATAAGTTGTAAAGTATATCAACTTTTTATATAAATTAAAAGACAGAAAAATACCTGTGGAAAATCATCATGCTCAGAGTAAGTACCCTTTCCAGCCAATAACAAATCTATTTGACTAGTCCTAGGTGTCAATAAAGGAGACCTTGGAGTCATGCTACCTGCAGATGATGTTGTCATTCCTTGGTCTGATTTTGGACCAAAACGAGTTTTACATGACATGGACGGTAAACCCTTCAGGTCATCCATAAAAACAGAATTATCAGCTTCAGGAACATAGTCAAGCATGTCCTCCGAACCCCTCCGAGACCAATCACTGAATTTTGGAGAGAGAACATCAGATTCTTCAGTCACACTCGAATTTGAAACCTTTGCTACATCTGGGCTTCCTACAACCGCCTGAGGGATATCCTTCTGTCCAAAGGATTCCATCATCTTCTCAAGGGTTTCTGAGATTCTGACAAGTCGTTCATTGACACTTAGACCCTTTTGGTCACATCGATCAGCAATTGCACAAATTCTGGAGTGATCTTCCACATGTAAGGTTGGAACCTCTTCCTCACAAATACGACAAATTATTGAACTACTATCATCAGAAATATTTTGCTGGTCTCCCCAATAACCCCAAGAAGCTTTGTGTTGGTGCTTGGATGAATGTTCCAAGTTTTCTTTAGGAGGAGGAAGCTCGGGTGGCTTAGAAGCTGTCACATCCACATCAGATTTTCCTCTTCTGTGGTTTGAGGGTTTCAAAAGTTCATTCTTACTTTCAGTCTGCTCCTTTGATGTAGGACTTTCCTTGATCTTTCCAACTGGAGATGGAAGTTTCTTCCAAGAGGACATTCGATCCCTGCTTGCAGGAGAATCCAAGTTCTTTGCAGTGTCATCAGTGGGACAAAGAATGTTACCCTCTGGAAAAACAGGCTCTTTCTTCCAATCCATGCCACGTTGCTCCTGACTATAAGATTTCCTGGCTGAAGCTGCCTTGGAGGCCTTCACAGTACTGGGAACTTTTGCATCCCTTCCAATGCCTTGAGTAATTCGTTTATCTGCTGAATGCAGGACCCTAGACTGACGAAGCTGCAAGACATTTACATCCTCTGCCAACCCACTTTCCTTGTGGAACTGCAACAATCTAGTACACCTTGTGAGAATGAAAAGCATTTTGGTATGAAGTTGCTTTAGCACACCAGGCGGAAGTTCCTGACGCCTATCATCCAATTCCTGTACTATGCCTTCACACTGAAGCCAAAACTCTCCAGGTGATGTCATAGCACAGCTCCTAGCCAAAACCAGCAAGTCCTCAATGGTTTCCTGCCAGTCAGGATGAGTTTCTGCATTTTTTTCAAGAATTCCAACCAGATCCCCAGCGAAAACAGCCAGATCAGAGTTCACTTCTTCCTTTGCTTTGTCAAATTTTGCCCGAATAACAACCAAGATCTCCTGTATATAATAGCAAACTTTTTAAATCCAGTGACTTCTAAAGCACAATCCATCCATAACCTGCAAGGAAATATAACACAAGAGAAACCAAAGTACCTCCAGATTATTTATGCCTCGAGGCTTCATAAATGGGAAAGGCCGTACACCTTTAGAGTTTAATTCGTGGGAGAAACTTTTGATATCAGCAGGAAACCTCTTTCTTGGAGCACTTGTCACACGAAGTATAGCTTGAAATCGGGGAGATTCAGACTCCTTTGGGTTTTCACAATCATATGAAGTCTACAAAACAAATATCAAACTTCAACAAAATTGTAAAAAACAATAAGTAAGAAAAATACCTAAGAATTCAAGAAGAGTATCAATGAAGATCCTTTCAACAATACCTCTGGTGTACAGAGTTCTGAACTTCTTAATACCCCAGTATGGCCCCATGATGATTCATATCGCCCTGCTAAAGTGATTCAAGGCGTCAAAAAGAATTTAGGGAAAGAAAGCTGATACATTTTCCATTCACTTTTAGAGTGTTAGCTGAAAGCATTTTTTCAAACTGGCACCCGTGTCTAAAGCAAGGATACACCACAAGGAAGCCATTGTAGAGAAATTTGCAAACAAAAGCAAATGCAAAAAATACATGAAAAAGAAAGTTGGAAGCAACCCCAGAAATGCATAATAACTTGGACTGGGTATTGTCTCCTTCGGGTAGGAAAACAATGAAGATGATGCAAATTAATTAAATATAGTCCTTTTCAAATGTCCACTCACATATAGCTTTCGTACAGAATTTCAATCCCGTTTTCTTCATGTTGGCCATGACAAGAAAAGAACTATACACTGGTTTAGAAATCAGCTTCTTGTTTCTTGGAAATAATTTTAAGACTCAATTACTAGCCATAAAGTAACAAGTCTAAGATGGCAATCGTTTTCTTCCTCCGAAATCAGAATAGAACTAAATTGATTTATTATCTAAATAGATCTGAATGAATGAATTTGAATAATATGAATGAATTTTTAATTTATAGGGTAATAAAATTGTTAAGTTGTTTTGTTTTTCAAATAAAAAGATTTGAAAATGGACATTTTGACATATATATGTCCACTTGATATTAAACGTCCTATTCTTTAATTAATTTTTATGTTATATTATTTAAGTTTTATAAACTTAAAAGTAAATATCAATGAAAGTAAAAACCTAGTTGAACTAAAATACTTGATCAAGAAGTTTAACATAATAAGAAATGTACGGACTTGCAAATGAAACAATGTTGACATTCTATGAAGAAAGGTCTAAAAAAGGTTTAATAAAATGGGCAGAGATGTGATATTAACCAAGGATAATATTGCCAAAACAATTAATACAAACTATACAAACGTTTTTCATCAAGTGAAAAGTAAAAAAAAAAAAAAAAAAAAAAAAGTTTTTTTAACTCGCTTAATTTTAGCAAAAAAGTCTTTGTTAAGGTAAAAAGCAAACAACTGAAATGATTCAAATTCAGTTAATTTAGCCTTAAGTTGAAAAAACAAATAAGCCCCAAGTTGATATCATAGACCAACTAAACAGAGTAAAAGGCAGACCAAGATACACTCAGTCAAAAGCATTGGACTGTTACCATATGCATCTCAAACTCAAATTGCATAGCATGAAAAAAAAAATAATAATAATAATAGAGTAGAACCTACCTAAAATAATATTGTATAAATTAATAACCTGTCTACATAAACAAAAAATCTAGCCATAAATTTGATTAGATAAATTAATAAACATTAGAAAATAATAAGCATTGAGATATAATTTACAGATTCTAAGCATTTATCTAATAGAAGCATGTTTAATCGATCTATATATTTCCAACAGTAGTGATCAAGTGTAAATTTCTTTCTTTCTACTTTGGGCTAACTTGTCTCACATAATAACATGTCTAAAATAATAAAATTTTCTAAACCTACAAAAATTATAGGTTTCACAGGATAACAATATCATCACCATTTCTAGAATAGTTTTATTTCCCCATTAAGGTAAGAAAGAAAAACGAGCAAGAAATAATAAGGAAACAAGGATAAAGAAACCATAACAAAATCATATATCCATGTTTTGTTTTCTTTCAATTCGTAAATTGTTACTCCCTTTACAAGTCTACGTGATATTGTAGTTCAATTATAAATCATAAGCACTCCACAAAAAAGTCCATGGAAAATAATAACACTAATATAGATATATAGATATATAGATATATATTAATGGCTTGGGAGCTTTCCTCAGAAATAAGGGTTAAATTAATATGGCTGCCTCAACCCTCATAAACTAAGGGTTCAATTGATACAGCAACCTTAAACCGAGCTTATGGAAGTACATCCTGTCTTCTTGGAAGATGTATGGGTTAGTAAGACAACACTTGGTGACCTAGGTTACACACATTGCCAACTCGGCATATATCTCTCCATTGATAGATATAATGGATGCCTCTTCTCCTCCACACAGGCAGAACCTTATGCTTCCGATCTCTTTTTATGTTAATTTACCATATAAAGTGTTAATTTAAGTATAGAAAGTATTGTAATTAAGTTCTAGTGCAATGTAAGTTCCTCCATCGTGCCCTTATCCCACTTTCCTTACCATAGAAATGGGCAAAATTAGGTTGTATCTACCCATTGATTTGAATAAGACTTTATTTTTGTGTTAAACAATAGAGACACCAAACTCCTATAACTATTTTTTTAACATTGTAATCAGGTTATGGTTACCATAAACCACAAACTCTTGCTTTTTCTAGTCTTCAAACAAAGCTCACTCTCATCATGACTTGGATATTCAAAAAGATGGCTTTTCCCAATGGAAGAGAAGTAATAACATTCATTCACGCGCGTTTATAATGAATAGAGCACTAGCTGAAATGAGAGGCATAAAGAGGAATTGCTCCAAAATAGCAATCTTTCTTTGGAAACTTGATACACTAAAGACTGATATCAGCACATTGTCCCTTGGTAGCTGAAAACATTAACCACAGTACAAAAGAATGCCTCAAATGATATGAAAGATCACCAAATATTCAGTCCCAAAAGAATCCAAATTTTTAACATTCTTCTCCTTCCTAGCATATTAAACTAACTGATCTCCCAGATAATTCACACATTTAAATTATTCTAACTCCCTAAATTCTTGAAGTTACTCTGATATATTTAGTAAAGTGGATAGCTAGAACTATCCTGTAATTGAGAAAAGAAATTAAATAAAAGACGTTCTACCAACTCGGAATAAGTTGGCACATGGCAATTCTTTTAGATTGCCATGCGATGTGGCTCTCTCAAGGAGTATGGCTCATTACATCTCAGACCACATATCTTCTCTTTCCCTTTGTTTCTTCATTGATATATTTATACTCCTTGATTTGTAATTCTCCTCCTTAGCATAAAAAACTAACTGCTCTTCCCAAATAATCCNCAATATCATCACCATTTCTAGAATAGTTTTATTTCCCCATTAAGGTAAGAAAAAAAAACGAGCAAAAAATAATAAGGAAACAAGGATAAAGAAACCATAACAAAATCATATATCCATGTTTTTGTTTTCTTTCAATTCGTAAATTGTAACTCCCTTTACAAGTCTACGTGATATTGTAGTTCAATTATAAATCATAAGCACTCCACAAAAAGGTCCATGGAAAATAATAACACTAATATGGATATATAGATATATAGATATATATTAATGGCTTGGGAGCTTTCCTCAGAAATAAGGGTTAAATTAATATGGCTGCCTCAACCCTCATAAACTAAGGGTTCAATTGATACAGCAACCTTAAACGGAGCTTATGGAAGTACATCCTGTCTTCTTGGAAGATGTATGGGTTAGTAAGACAACACTTGGTGACCTAGGTTACACACATTGCCAACTCGGCATATATCTCTCCATTGATAGATATAATGGATGCCTCTTCTCCTCCACACAGGCAGAACCTTATGCTTCCGATCTCTTTTTATGTTAATTTACTATATAAAGTGTTAATTTAAGTATAGAAAGTATTGTAATTAAGTTCTAGTGCAACGTAAGTTCCTCCATAGTGCCCTTATCCCACTTTCCTTACCATAGAAATGGGCAAAATTAGGTTGTATCTACCCACTGATTTGAATAAGACTTTAATTTTGTGTTTAACAATAGAGACACCAAACTCCTATAACTATTTTTTTAACATTGTAATCAGGTTATGGTTACCATAAACCACAAACTCTTGCTTTTTCTAGTCTTCAAACAAAGCTCACTCTCATCATGACTTGGATATTCAAAAAGATGGCTTTTCCCAATGGAAGAGAAGTAATAACATTCATTCACGCGCGTTTATAATGAATAGAGCACTAGCTGAAATGAGAGGCATAAAGAGGAATTGCTCCAAAATAGCAATCTTTCTTTGGAAACTTGATACACTAAAGACTGATATCAGCACATTGTCCCTTGGTAGCTGAAAACATTAACCACAGTACAAAAGAATGCCTCAAATGATATGAAAGATCACCAAATATTCAGTCCCAAAAGAATCCAAATTTTTAACATTCTTCTCCTTCCTAGCATATTAAACTAACTGATCTCCCAGATAATTCACACATTTAAATTATTCTAACTCCCTAAATTCTTGAAGTTACTCTGATATATTTAGTAAAGTGGATAGCCAGAACTATCCTGTAATTGAGAAAAGAAATTAAATAAAAGACGTTCTACCAACTCGGAATAAGTTGGCACATGGCAATTCTTTTAGATTACCATGCAATGTGGCTCTCTCAAGGAGTATGGCTCTTTACATCCCAGACCACATATCTTCTCTTTCCCTTTGTTTCTTCATTGATATATTTATACTCCTTGATTTTTAATTCTCCTCCTTAGCATAAAAAACTAACTGCTCTTCCCAAATAATCCCACACGTTTCCTTTATTATAACTTCCTAGATTCTTGAACATGTTTAGCTCTAATATATTAAATAAAGTGTATCACTAGAACTATCCTGTAAAGCAAATGAAGAAAAGGCGTTCCACCGACTCGGAGTTACTTGGCATCTGGCAACCATTTTAGATTGCCATCCACGTAATTCTCTCGAGGGATAAAGCGCATTACATACCAGACCACATATCTTCTCTTTCCCTTTCATTTCTTTACTAATAAATTTATATCCCCTCCTTCTTAGCAAAATAAACAAACTAATCTTCGCAATTAATCCCTCACATTTCGGTTATTCTTAATTCCTAGATTCTTGAACATGTTTAAGATTGTCACTCTTACTTTAGCATATTAAATGAAGTGAATCACTAGAACTATCCTATAATTGTGAAAAGCAAGGCGTTCCACCGACTCGAAGAAACTTGGCACTGGGCAATCATTTCAGATTGCCATCTATAGAACTCTCTCGAAGGGTAAGGCTCATTATGTCCTCACCCACATGTCTTCTCTTTCACTTATAATAAGTTTATACTTTCTAACAAGAGTAAAGCTCATTCGCCGCCTGAGTAATAAGTTGATTCTTTCATCTAATCAGAGATTATGGTTTCATCTATTAACAGTAAAGCTCATTACGTCCCTGACTAAATGAATTTATACTTTCTATTAAAAATAAACGTTCATCTACTAACAGTAACGCTCATCACTTCCTCTAACTAGCTGTCATTTCCTTCGTTTTCCTCTACTTAAATAAGTTTTATTTTTCTTCGTTATCTGAAATTTCTCAAACAAAACAAAAATTACCTGCTTCAGATGATGATTCGCCGCTCTGCAACCGGGACTTCGCCAGCAAACTCGGGCTCTGTTCTCGAGACTGCCCACTAATCGACCCGCCATCGCCGCCAACACTCTCATTAAACCCCATTTTCTTCTTTCCACTCCCACTTCCACTCGCCAAAGATTTTCCCGAACTCAAATTCCCATCTCCGCCGCCCCTCGACAAATTACTTGCTGCCGCTTTATCTCCCTTAAAACTAAAGAAACTCTCCTGCGGCAACGGCCCCGACCGCGTCTTTATCCGATTCAGCCCCAGCGACGACGCCAGAATCGGCGACACCGCACTCGCCACCTCCTTCTGCTTAGTCGGAGACGACTTCGTAGTAGTAGTCGAGGTCGACACAGTCGGCGTTAAACTACTCGTCGTTTCCTTTCCTTTAACTTCCTTCTTCTTGACTCCATCTTTGACTTGGGTTTGCCTGCACGAGACGCCACCGAAGCTCGAAGTAGTGGAACTTGCGATCTGGGTCGGGTCGTCTTTAGAACCGGATTTCGGTTTCTTCTTGTCGGATCCGATCGGGGAGTTGGATCCGAAGGATCGAGGGGAGTTGGATCCATCGGAGTCGGAGGATTTCTTGGAAGAGAAGAAGAGTTTGCTCTTGAACACCATTGTTAAGGTTAATTAGAGAGTGATTTTGAGCAGCCTAGAATGTTACATATGCCGGGCTCTGAAAGAAACATTGAAGAAGACGAAAACAGAAGAAATGGAAAATTTGAAGTGGGTTTTGGGATTGGACAAATTTTTTTTTTTTTTTTTTTTGGGATTTTTGGAAGACTGCGAAAAGGGGGAGAAAGAAACGGAGTGGAAGCAAAATGGGGGAAGAAAAAAATATTTTGAGTCAAGTGGAGTTCATTTATAATTTCTTTTTAACTGTTATTTTTTTACTAGAGGGCAAATAAGTAAATTGCTATTTACATTAAATAAAATTGTATTTATCTTCTAATAAATAAAATTTAAATTATAAAGTTATAACATTTGCAAAAAAAAAATCATATTATAAAGTTTTATATTTTATAATAATACACATTCTGATTTATCGTTGTTATAGAGATTTTTGTTATTTTAAAAACTTTATAAAGATTTACGTAATTAAATAAAATTAGAGAGTTTACAGGTTTCGTGTTCGATATTATAAATTTGTCGTTCCATGTTTCTAGTCAAATGTAACTTCCACAACTACCAACCCATTAACTAATTTTTTTCTTTCTTTTTCCTAATCTGCTTATCTTGTTTCTTCCTAGCATCGACATCTTCTTCTTTATTAATAATTGGTCAATGTTAGTTTTATGATTGAAGCCGTAGTCAAAGTTTTGGTATTTTTTTGTCCTATTGCATCGAAGAATTGCTTGATTTTTTAATATCGAAAATAAATAAATAAAAATGAGTCAAAATAAAATATCTTTACAAGAATATTCCCACGAGATCTCAAATTGTAATATCGAAATCTAATCATAGATTGAGAATTCAATATATATCTCAAATATATTAATATTAATAAAAACAAATAAATACATTATTATGAGATGAAGAAAAAATTATATGCTATGAAAATATACCACAAATTTCACACTCAAATCAACCCATGGGCCTGGTCAAACTCCATCACAAGTGGAACTTAATCAAACCATGGGCCTAGTCAAAGTCCACCATAACTGGACCATAATCAACCCGTGGACCTGGCCTAAGTATACCAGTATACCACTAGTGAATCTTAACAAGCCCATGGCCCTGAAAGAGTCCACCATAACTGAATCTTGATAAACCCATGGGCCTGGTCAAAGTCCACCATAAGTAAATAATAACCAACCCATGGTCTGGTCAAAGTCCACCATAAATATATAATAATCAACCCATGTGCCTGGTCAAAGTCCACCATAAATATATAATAACCAACCCATGTACCTGGTCAAAGTCCATCATAACTGGACCATAATCAACCCGTGGACCTGGCCTAAGTATACCACCAGTGAATCTTAACAAGCCCATGGGCCTGAAAGAGTCCACCATAACTGAATCTTGATCAACCCATGGGCCTGGTCAAAGTCCACCATAAGTACATAATAATCAACCCATGAGCCTGGTCAAAGTCCACCATAAAAATATAATAATCAACCCATGTGCCTAGTCACAGCCCATCATAACTGGACCAAAATCAACCCTAACCCGGACTGCCAACCCTAACCCGGACCGCCAACCCTAACCCGTCAGGTTAGGCGCGGGTTGGGCCAAGTTAACCCGCTTTTTGACTTTTTTATTTTATTTTATTTAAGTTTAAATGTTTAATTAACTTTTCAATACATATTAACAAATTAGATAAATGTAATTGTTAATTTCCTTTTCAAATATCAATAATAAATTAAATTAATTTTTTTTTGTTAACATTCCAAATATTAATTCAATTTTAATACATTAAAATTGTAATATAAGAATATTAAATATATTCATTTATTAAAAAATAAAATAAGAAATTACAATAATTATTGCCTCGTTAAAACCTCACCAAGAAAAACTCAATACCAAAACTGGTAAGGAAAAAGAGTACAATAATTGACAATTAATTTACAAGTTACAATTTACAAAACACTAATTTTTGGGGATCACTAGGGCCTCCCTCATCCATATCATCTATATTACAAATTGAAATGATTCTATTAAAGTATCGTCGACAACCCTCGTATTGACCTTGATGGCGCGACCGTTCCCATCTCGAAGACATGTGAGGACTTCAATCATTTGTGGTGTAAGTTTAGTCCTCCTTTCATTTAAAATTCTTCCACTTTTTGTACTAAATGTTTGTTTGGATGAGACGGTTGAGACAGGAACAGCGAAAACATCCAAGGCAAGTCTTGATAATACCGGAAAAATCCATTTTTTGGCTCTCCAATGATTTAAGAGATCATGTTGGCCTCTGTTGTGGATCTACTGGTAACATTTCAGGGTTGCCAATATTGTTGAAGCTCATTACTCTGCGACTGCATGGAAGACAGTACATTATTAGTTGTTGTTGTTGGGGTGGTGTGGCCTCAAAGAGGAGGTTGTGCTTCGGATTCAGGTCCTCTTCGCCTATTCAGTGCACCCCAAGAGTAGAAGTCTTCATTTGTTTCTTCTGATGCAGCTTCCCTGGATGTTTTGTCCTCTTTGCGGGGTTCCCATACCCTGTTTTTCATACTAGAAATATACTTCGAAAAGTGTATTTTTTACCTCTCTTTATTTGATTGGCATATACTTCGGTTTGTAAATTTTCCACATAATTGTCAAAACCATTTTCCTAAACCTGCTAATTTAATTCTAGGATCAAATATAGCACCTAAACAATAAAGAAAATGAATGGGTTCCAATATTTTTTTAAAAAAAAATTTCCATTGCCTTTATTGGTGCATTTAAAATTACATTGTCTTTTGTTTTTTATAATAACTCATAATTGTTATAATTGTAGTATTACCAATGGACTAATAGGATATAACACACCAGAAAGTTGTAAAGTGGATTGGTAACAAGTTTTAAGAAAGAATGAAATACTTTAACTATTTGCCACATTTTCTATCAAATAATTGAGGACATCTATTATTGTGCTCCAAAATAACTAATTATATTAGCATAAGGTAAACATGAATCAAGTATTAAATAGTACTATTCCATCTAACAGGCATGTCTAATGCAAAAGTTCTAGGAGACATATTTGATTTTATATAAGCTCTTAAAATTCAGCATTTCTTTTATACTACTAGTAATCCAAGCTAAACAATCTTAATTCTATTAATATTTTCTTTAATTGTTTTCATACCACTTTTCACATTAAATTAATAACATGGCATGCACAACATTGGTGAAAAAACTTCAAATTGTTATATAAAGGATAATTATTTTAAAATAATTATAGCTTTACTATTAGAACTTGCATTATCTAAGTTAAACTTATCACTTTACTAATAACCATAATCTTCTAAAACTTCAACATTATTATAAATTTGTTCACCACTATGATCCAACCATCCATTAATCTAAATCCTAATAAAGATTTATTTAATTTACATTCATTATCAAAATAATGACTAGTCACACAAATAATCTTGTTTAGCTCTACCACTCCAAATATCGGCAGTTAGAGCCACACTAACATGGCAAGTATGTATTTTATTTTTTAATTCTAATTTCATTTTTTTAAACAATTTTATTAAATCATTTCTAGTTGAAGTTTTAGAATAACTTTTTAAATCCTGGAAAAATGAATTTGAACAAATCTTTCAAAATATTTATCTTCAGCTATATTAATAGGTTTATCATTGCAGCAATATATAAAGTTAACTGTTCCCTATATACAATCAGACTATAACGCCAATCAGTACCCATATTAGTTATTTTGAGTTTGATTGCTTTCTCTATTTCCATGTTGATTAATATGTTTATTAGCATGTCTTTTTAAAGTACTAGTACCAGTACCTGAATCAGCTTTATAATATTTCCACAGTATTTGCATCTCCTTTTCTTACTTGAATGCTAGTTTCTGTCTCGTAAACTTGTCGAAATGCGTCCAAACGTCTGATGTGGTCTGTCTTCGCTTCTGACGGCAGTTGATGATCCCGCCTCAGCTGAGATGAAGTTTGACGAGCACGACGATTACGAGGATGACTTCTAGAACCACCAAGAGCTGTTGGAATCGGGGGCATAGTTTGAGGTGTATCGGATTCTGAGAATGGAAAGCGGGACTATTTGAATCTCCTCCTTGCATTTATGTTAGTAAAATCAGCGGGATTAGACTAGGATAGTAGTTTCCGTCACATTGTAATTGATGGGAGATAACATCTATCCATTGTAGTGAAAAAAAAAAAATTGATGTAAAAGAAATAAAAATTAAAGAAAGCGAATTGGAGTATGGAAATTAGAATTTGGAAAATTGGAAATATGAATTAAAATTGCAAAACTAATAAAAATTAAAATTGAGCAAATTGCAAAAACTAATAAATGAATAATTGAGACTTGAGAGATTAGAGATTAGAGAAGATAGAGATTGAGTTGTGAGAAAAATGTGAGAGTTTAGGGCCAATTTATAGGAAAAAATGGGAAAGAAAAATGACGAAAATGCCCCTCCCAACGGCATATTTTCAAGGGTAAATGGTAATTTGAAAAATAAAAATAAATTTTTTTATTTAATTTTTTAATTTTTTTCGGCAACACCTCCGGGTTGCACAAAGCCAATCCGGCGGGTTTTCGGGTCTCTTGCAAAAGAGACAAAATAGCAACCCGTCGGGTTGCGGTTGCCATTGTGCAACCCGGCCCGCCCGGGGTTTGCTATCGGGTTAGGGTTAACTCGGACCGCCAAGATGGCGGTCCAGGTTTAACCCGCATTTTTCCTAGGCCGGTTAGGGTCGCCCGCCTAACTTGGCCCAAAATTTCCACCTCTACACCCCAACAGGCAACTCGTAATACTTCAGTCTCTCAACAATGGGTTCCACCTGCCCAATTGTGAGCTACATGTCGGGATTTAAAAAAATTTAAGTTTAGATTGTGTTCAATCTTTATTGAATTGTTTTTTTTAAATGTAACTTCAATCTCTTAAAATATATTTATCCATATTCAACTTCAAAATACTCCCAAAGGTTTGGTTTAGTGTAGAGAGCCATTCAACTTTGGCAAAGTCCTATAAAATATGATCTAAGGTTACTATTACAAAGTTGCATAATGAATCATAAAACTAGGGGGTTCAAAAGAACCGATTGGAACCGAAATCGTGGGGTATCCTGGGGTTTTTGGGT